AAGAAGGGGCCAGGGGCCCAATATCCACCTTGAGGGCATGCTCCCAGTGACCTAACTCCCTCCAACTAAGTCCCATGTACAGAATTTTCACCTACTTCCCCACAGTATACCACAGGCTGGCCACATGGCCTTTGGGAGACATTTAAGATCCAAACAATAACACAAGGCAAATGTCATCAAAAGGAGCAGTGTATACTAGGGATCAATGTATATCCAGACTATACAATGTTTTTAAACCTTTTCTGTTTGGTGCTGGGGATGGCATCAGGGCCTCATCTATGTGAAACATATGCTGTACCACTAAACTACATGCACAGCTGCCCTTCATTTTAAAATGAAAGGATGGCATGTTTTTCACGTGAAAGCCATACAACATATATAAAAAAAATAAAATCTGTATCCCTCTAAAAATATTTACCATATTCAACTTTCTCTACATATATAAAGGCTATTTTCTCATATTTATTTCTAATATTTAAAAATAAGTGGCACTAAGTTAATTTGCTTATATTTAAGAAACTAACATCAACTGAAGCAGTTGTTCAATTTTAAATATTCCTTTATCTGAACAGATATTTCTTTTAAAATCCATAACAAAATAACAGAGACAATCAATTTATAAAGATGAAACATTCACTTCAGGTCAGTTTTAAGGGGGTCAGTCTATGTATGATCCATTGGCCTTCTTGGTTGGTCCTGTGAGGGGGAAGCCTGCATGTGATGTCAGCACAGTATGGTGGGCAAAAAGAGGCAGAGACCCAGGTCCCAAAGCCCCTTTGAGGGCTCACTCTCCCAATAACCTAAAGGCCTCCCACTAGGCCCCACCTCTTCAAGGTTGCACCAACCCAAACAGCACCACTCTAGGGACCAACCCCTTACTATATGGGCTTTCGGCTACATTTGAGATCTAAACTATAGAAGTAAGTGTCTGCCATAGGGACTGGATTATGCACTGTCTTCTCACACTTTCACTAACTCTTGTATCAGAGTGAATTCCAGACAGAGTGGAAACATATCTACTCTGTATCACGGGATGACCCTTTGAATGTGGGTTTTCCTAACTTGGAAATGAGCTAATTCCTGCCCCTCATTTTCTGCTTCTATTCCAGTAAACTCTTATCATCATCCTCACGACATCCTAACTCTGCCCACTCTAGGTCTACTAGAGAAGGGGACAGATAAGGATGCTCATTGTGCCTCAATTTACTAATCAATTCTTTCTAAAATCAGAGAATTTTTTTTTTTTTTTTGATACCTGGAGTCAAACTCAGGACCTATGCTTGCCAAGTAGGTGCTTATGCCACTAAGCTATATCCCTGGTTCCCTTAAATCTGATATTTTAATGAGGATTCTGGAATTTACAAATTCCCCAATGTTAAGTGGGGCTAGAAGCACTTTTTTTATTGCCACAAATTTTGGGTCATTTTGCTTGGTTATCATCTTTTGAAGTTTAGGTGAAAAAGACAAAGATTGGATTCCTTCAATTCAGGCTGGTCTCAAACTCTCAGAAATCCTGGCTCAGCCTCCCAAGTGCTGGGATTATTGGTGTGTGCCATCATGCCCAACGCTGCTGAATATTTTTAAAAACTAGCTTTTACCTTGTAAGCTTTTATTTGCTTTTGTTAGGTTCTAGAGCTCTAGAACATATGTTTTTCTTTTATGTATGTGGTGCTCTAGACATATGTTTTTCTTTTATGTATGAGTTGGTTTTTTTCTAAACTAAAACCTCAGTTTTCTGGTTTAATTGCAGCATTGGCACTTTATGATAAATTAGTGGGTTTTGGTTGTGATTCTGTAATCTGGCCTTAAAATTGGCCATGGCACAATTTTAAAGGATTAAACCAGCAGCTTTGGGAGACAAAATGTCACTCTCTGGTGATATTACAATAATTTGAGGTTTTAGCAGTTCTCAGTGACAGTCATTTCCTGAGACTAACAAGTGGTCAGGGAGGGGCCCAGGCGTCGTTGCTTTTGTTTGTTTTTAAAGTCCCTCTAATGATTCTATCTGTACAGAGCTGAGACCATGAACTGGGCCTTGTCTATTATGAACAATTTGACATATATAATGCTCACAGCATTGTAGGAGCATTTTATATGTGCATTAACAAGCCCAAAATATAAAAAGAACACAAATTACACTCTGCATAGTCAGTCACTCAAAAGTATTTAAGAAGCCATGGAAGCAGAAAGAAATAGAAAAAGATATTAATGGTTTTGCTTCAGATATATTATCATTTAGTTGGATAACAGAACTAATATATCACAAAGAATCAGAGAACACCATTTGAGGTAACCTTCAACAGTTTAGGAATCGTGTCACGGGCAGAAAAGGCCCTGTTCAGGTGCTGAGTAACTGGCCTGAGGGTGAAGTTCACAATTTAATGGAAGAGGCAGCTCTCAGAATACAGCTGAAGGGTTAGTCCCTCACCTGTCAGCCACACCTGCTGTCCCCAGTTCTAACTTATGTGGTATCATTTGGGAATGCAGAGAATTTAGAGGTGAAACTGGTAGCTGGGATTTTTTGTGTCTAGGGTGTTTTTGTGGAGCTCCAGGAATGGGAAAGGACACAGAACACCGTATATTTGTGAAGAGCCTTGAATCACATATATTTGTGAAGAGGCCATAAGGGAACATTTCAGTCTGTAGCGGTGAAGTTGGAAACACAGAATTAGAGATCAAGACTATAGCCATAGCGCTGGAAACATGGAGATGGAAGTGAGCAATAGTCGAGGGTATTTGAATTTCTTGCTTGATACCAGAAGGCCACTGATTTCATGCCATATCAACATTCACTAATTTTCTATGTATCTGAACTATGCTGTTCCAAAAGTGCCACCTCCATTTTGTGCCTATGGAGAAAAAGACTAGGACATTGTGGCAGTACGTATCAATGCACACAAGAAGTATGACTGAAATATACAGTGAGTTTTAAAAAACTGTAATTTCTTACAGTAAACAACACATTGCCTTTAATCACCTCCCAAATATTCTCGTATACTTTAAACACACATCCCATCATTCTTGCCACTCTATGAAGTGGTCCTGGAAGTCCTCTTTTGTGGCTTGATGAGGGGGTGACAAAAGTTTAGTGAAAGCTGAGGCTCAGTGCCACCCACCAAAAAGACAGGCTCATAAAGCACAATGCTGGTCTTCATCCATCTTATTCATCAGCTAGCTCTTCTTCAAAGTCAGAATGAAAATAAAAAGTAAACAATTTAAATCAACTCAGGACATGGAGGCAGTTGTGATAGCCCAATTAAAGACATCCAGAAAAGAGAAGTTATGGACGGCTTCACAAAGTGCCAAGAACGGTGGGGTGTGTTTTAAGAGAGGAGTATTTTGAGGAGGCTAATGGCAACGTGTTTCACTGCGAATATCATTAGGCACACACATGTGAAGCTTGTCCATAAAAAGGGTCAAGGGAAGCTCTAATCTGCTCATGTGAACGTAAGAGCATACTAGGATATGAACTCCCGACAGGTCCATCCTTCCTTGCTCTTTAGGTTTCTCCATTGCTGGCACTGTGAACAAACCTTCCAGCTGTGTCCAGGTTATCACAGAATGATGACACAGAAAATGTACCAGCACCTGCAGACTCTGAAACAGCAGCAAGGAGTAAACACAGCTACGGTATTTTCCTCAGTTGGACCCTCATGACCATGAGGCAGCCTATTGCCCCACCCACTGGCAGCCAGAAAGGAGTTTTTGCACAGCTCCCAAGTGCCCCAAAGAGGTGAACCGAGGAATGGAAATGGACACCTAGCTGAACATTCCACTATGGAAAAGCAGAAAAGAGACGTCCTCACACAGCCTGCCCTAGTACTGCCACAGTACTAATGTTTATAAGAAAAAGGTGATTATGGAAAGATCTTGGGGTTCAGTGGGGGAGAACTGCACATAACTTTTTTGAGTATGTACACCCCATTCATAGGTTTAGCATTTCCATTTGGCACAGTGAACATGGTGGTGGCAATCCCTCAATAAACTTCATATTGTTTTTGCTTCAAGATTTATTCATACCCCATGTGGAACAATGACAGTTGGTCACTGCCTCAAGGGACTGAAGACCACTAATGTTAGTGCAAGTAGAAAGGTCATGGCAGTGTACTGAAAAGAAACCGGTTTTTTAGGAAAAGGGATTCTAAGGCAGAGAACAAGGACCCTAGAGAGCAGGAATTAGAAGGGAAGCCTGACTGTGGGGAATTCTGGAGACCCCAGTGAACACCTGATTTCTTCATCTCTCAGTGTGGCTGTTCCATCCTTTCCCTCTTTTCTTTCCCAATACAGCCACCTCGGGAGCCAACTCCCCATGGTCTTGTTGCTCAAGCACTTGCCACCTGACAATTCAGGATCTCTCTTGAATGCCTTCCACCACCAGCTCTTATGTTTAGAGGCAGTTAGAGCAGACTGAAGTGAGCAACAGTGGGAAGGTTCTCTGAGGACTGAATCAGAGAATACCTTCTACTACTACTTTGGCATCAAATGGGTTAGGCAAAAAAAAAAAAAAAAAGTCTGCAACTAAATGTCAACTAATTAAGCACAAGGTCACTCCAACATGCTAAGCCAATTCATCTACTATCTGTCTGGTATTTGCAGTACTGTATCTCTGAAAAAGAATAAAACCAACGCAAAGAACAGAAGTACCTCTGAAAGAAGCTCATCTTTCTAGAATGCTTAAAATTCCCATGGCAATGTCATGACAGTGTTTAGTTGTCTTCAAATTATGTTCTGTTGAGGTGTTACAGTTTTATGAAGATTTTAGAGCTGAGTTGGCTTGGTTTGCTGCTTGTCTCCATTCCTTATTAGCTGCTGTCTTAGCAAAGGGCTTTCTCTAATCCATGCTTCAGCTTGCTCATTTGTAACTTGAGAAAACCAGCAGTACTTGCCCTACAGAGTTTATTGGGAGAAGATGTATTAATATTTGCCTGGCAAGGCATGTTTCAGACTGAGGCCTGGAAAAGCATGTATGTTTGATAAATGATACTTAAGCACTTTATAAATTACTTTAAAAATAAGTTTATTATAACTAACGAATATAAAATCTGACATGTTTTCAAACATTTTCCAAAAAAAGTAAAACCCTCCCCATGACATACAGAATAATTAGGACAGAAAAACAGTACAAACCTAAACATGAAATTATCGTTCATTGGTTGGTACTAAAAGTCTCCATTACATTATATTCTAAGTAAAGGTCTATTAAATTAAAAAGTCATTAAGTCATTTAACATTTGTAGTTTATCTTGGTTTCTACTGGCATTATGATACTCATTCAAAATGCTGAGGGACTAAAACAGGTAACACATTGCATGTGACAGATATTCAAAGTGCATGGATCTATAAAACCACAAACATTCATAAGAATCCTGGGTGCGGAATTAAACACTGACTTAAAAACTAATTCAAGGAAATGTATGTACATTTTAGCCTTTGGCATTTGGTCTAACATATTCCTTCTTTATACAGACATCACTCTGTTCAATCTATCAGGCAGAATAAATGTATCTGAGCACATTTTTCATCTAACACAGATTGTCCACAGCCAGTTTCACATGAGGTAGTTGGGCTGTTTAATGACATTCTAGTGAAATTCTCAGGACACATGAGACTCATACATTAAAAATGCCATGAAACTGGCTCATTTGCCTTCTACCATCGCTAACTCCTTATACATCTGTGAACATACACACACACAGGAGTCTGTGGAAGAGATCAGCTTTGCGAGGGCTACCGATTACCCAGGGTGGTGTCTGCTTGTAGGGTGCATGCAAGAAATGCTGATCACACTTTAAAATATATGAAAACATTTAAAACAAGGCTTGTCATTCTTACGTTCTTACATAACCTAGCTGAAAGCATCTTCCATCTGAAAAGAAGTGATTCATAAAGGTGACTGAAGAACCATGATAATTTTTGCACAGCACAGTAGTGGTATGCTTTTTTTTTTTTTAAAATTAAGCTTATTTTAAAAACAGAGGAGAGAGATCAATGCATGCATCAACTGTACCAGAGAGACATCATCAATGACCATTCCATCGTGCCCTAGAATGCCTGAATGCAGCAGTGCGACAAGAAATCATGAAAATGGTCACTGTCCACAAGACTGTTGATTGAAGCAAGGCAGGAGCTAGGAACATTCATAGGAAGGCCTAGTGAATGATATGTTTATGAAATTATTGAAATGACCTGTAATAGATTATATCTTAAAATACCATTAGACAGCAATTAAGTATTTTCATGTCGTGACTGTGAAACCCCTGAGTAAGCAATTGCAGGTTACAAAGGGTCATAGAGACATAGAATGTTATTTTCAAATAAAGCATTTGACACACATCTTGCAGGAACAGAGCACACTGAAGCATGTGCAGAGACTGTGTGATGTCATGAAACATCTGAAGTCAGGCCCTCATGACCAACACATTAGCTCAGCTAACAGAACACTGGCTTCATAAATACTTATAAATTCATCCTCTAAAAATTTTAAATTTAAAAAAACTTGCAGTTAACCTTTAAAAAAAGAAACAAAACATGAGGGTTGGTGAGCTGAACTGTTGTAAACCCATGACTAAAATCAGAAGCAATTGGTTTTATTTGGTGTTTCAGAAATGCACCATTATGTAACCAAGTTCCGCAGGATATGGTAATTTAGTAGGAAAAACAAGTTTTCAAAATGCCCCATTATCGTCTTCTATTGTTCATGACCCTCTGCCTCTATTGCTTTAGCTGGTATTTCTTTATATGTATGATTTTTATAATCAGATTATTTCTTTCATTAAAATTTTCTTTAGTTCTTTTCCTTTCAAATTTAATAAAATGTACTGATTAGTCCCTACCACATATTTTTCTATAAAGTTCAAGGCATTAACTTTTTAGAGATGTATATGGAAGAACCAAAAAAAGCAAAGCACAAACTTCTCAAAGCACTCACCTGGTAACAGATCACCTCTGCCAGGCACCACCATCTAGTCTTGGCCTTCCCTGCCCTAGAGCTACCAACAGGAACCCTGGTTCTGCCCTGAAGCTCTCTTAAGGGCTGATGCCGCTTCCTCACTTCTGCCAACACACAGCAAAACATCCCTCCCTTTTCTTCTAATAGTTATGCAAGAAAACACATTCTACAGCTGTTTCAAGCAATGAAAGCAAAAAATATACTAGAATTTTTTTTCCCCAGTGTCATGTAAAGGAAAGCTCAAGTATCCCAGAGCTCTTGGGGAGCTACAGAAGAGGGCTTGAAGCATTTTATCCCATTGCCCACTTCTTAGAAAGTCATTGCTCATCAGCACAAATGAATTTAAAGGAAGAAACAAATACTGCAGATCCTGGAGGATGCTCTCTCTGTGCCAAGATTCAGATCAAGATGAATTTATTGTTTAGTATTATGTTCAATTTCTAGCTATTTTTAAAGGATCCTCAGTTTTATACATCTTAAGCAAACATTCCCTGGTGAGGAAAGTATCTACTGAAAAACATTATCCTCTTCCTGTAGAGCTGGAAAAAGGGCTATTGGAGAATGCAACTTATTCAAGTTATTCAAATTACTCTGTTTGGACAACACTAAACTCATCCTTCATAAGTCAAGCCATAAACATGTAGGCGGTACTAGGTGGTACTTGTAAAAACGTAAAATGGCCATGCAGGACAGCTGTCCTTTTGTGTGCATTCAGAGCCTTGACAGCAAACTTGAGGTGTTTTCAGAATGCCCAGCTCCTCTCCAAAGACAAGAGCTCACCTGAGGTGGCCAGGAGCACCAGCAGTTGCTTAGAACAGTCAGCTGCCCACCACCAACTTCCTCTAGCATCCCTGTAAGAGCACAGCGACTAAATCCCCTTCACTCACAGTATAAGCAAAGACTGACTGCCTTTTCTTTTTCCCGTCTGAGGGGATGTTATGGGCAAAAGTCTAAATTATCCCCTAGTCCTACCTTCACCTTCATACACGGTAGAGGACACCTAAGCTGGACCTGGCAGGGCATGCCTAGTATCCAAGCACTCAGGAGGCTGAGGCAGGAGATCACCAAGAGTTCGAGGCCAGCCTGGGCTACACAAAATCACTTTATTTCCTTTTCTTCTCTAATCTTAAAACATGAGATATTGCTTTTCTATTTTCTTTCTTTTGGGGGGGGGTACCAGGAATCAAACTTATGACTTCTTGCTTGCTAGGCAGGTGCTATGCCACTGAGCTATATCCCTGGCCCCTGCTTTTCTAAGTTTAAGTATTTTCCAGAAGTTCTTTTGTAGGTTAAGAACATGCTTTATTTATTTAAAAAAAAAAACTTTATGTTTTAATTTTAGGGAGCAACACCTCACTCCATGGTCCAGGCTGGTCTTGAATTCCTGGACTAAGAGATTCTCTTGCTTTAACTGCCACAGAATCTGGGGCTACATGTGTGTACCACCTTGCTTAGCTCAATTTATTTATTATTATTGGCTAAATGCCTGTTTAAAGAGACAGGCATTCCTCCATGAAACACTCTGCTAAGCAGAGAATTCTCTTGCCCTATGGATCTGCAGCATCATCCACTGCTGTTGATTCACCTGTGTCCCTCAAAGGAACTCACATTCTTCCACAGGAACTACTTTATACTAGACTTCTCCTTCCTGTTACCAGAGGGAAGTGGCCTCTAAAGAGAAAGGCACTCACGGCATCTCCACTATACATACTGTGGCTGCTGGGCTCACCACTGGGAGACAAGGGCCATAGTATGGGCATCATACTTGGCAGAAGAATGTCCTCCCAAGGTGTTTCATAAAATATGTGAGTCCCATCTATAACCCTGAAAGCTTCGGAGATTGACACACAGCTGCCTTTAGATTGCTCTGCACTTTTGGTCTTGGTCTTGAAGCCATGACTGATCAGAGGAGGATTCAGAGCTGTGGCCCCGAATACTGTGCCCAGACCTGTTGGCTGGGTGCTGATGCTGGCTTGATGAAGCATACTGTTGAGTAAACTTGCTCCACTTTTTGCTCTCCACGGAATTACTTTTCTTAAAATGATGGACTTCTCAGGGCTGAGGATTTAGCTCAGCGGCCTAAGCGCCTGCCTTGCAAGCATGCGGTGGTGAGTTAGATCCCTGGTACCGATTAAAAAAAAAAAAAGATGGACTTCTCCTGTTTGAAAAAAGGACATATCATTTGGTTCTTCAAGAAGACTCTGGAATTCTGAAAACTTGAATATAATCAAGTAATTCTTTTACCTTGTGTGTGTAAGAATCATTTAGGAAGTTCATCTAAATGTAGATTCCTGTGTCCCACTCCCAGATTAGGTTCTTTAAACAAATCTTGGGAATCCAGTCTTTGAATGAGCATGTGATTCCATGTGACTTCAATACAAATATGGTCCAGATTATACTTGGAAATCACTTGGCTCCTCTAATTAAGAGATTACATGAGCGTAAGGAGATCTTTCCACCTCTAGGTATCACTTTGGAAGTTAGGTAAGAATCTCCTTGAATGTCATGGTTTTCTTGTGAGGTCCGATTGAGATAATGCCTGGGAAATGTGGCACAAGGTGGGCACAAGATAGGTGTCACCTCAAATGACCTGTCCCACCTCTCCCAACATGTCCTCCAGTGTGAGATCAGGGCACATCTCCCATCTTGAGCCACAGAAGGGCTCACCTGTGAAGAGGGATGGCAGTCCTTGTCCATATCTTCCCACAACTGCATGGTCACACCAATGCCCAAACCTCTTCTCTACACAGGTTTTCTCACTGAGAGCCACAGAGAGGATGATCCACTGGAGAATGTATAGGAACAGTAAGTGACATTACCACTGCTTCACAGAGGAGCTTACACTCCAAGTATTCAAACTCTAAGATGGTTTAACACAGGTTATGAATTTTAGTCCTTGATAGAGAATTGCTCATTTGCAGCTTAGGTTTTGATGCCCCATTAAAACTAAAACAAAACAATATAAAACACAATACGAAGAAATCTATTTGTCAAATCTGCTCTTATTACTTGCTGTTCAAGTCTTTAACAACTATGATTTGGTTTCCAGTAGGCCCATTGAACTGAAATATTTAGCACCTTGATTTTTAATCACATAAAACACATACATATTTTACAAAATTATATATAAAAGCATTAGGTTTTGCCTCTTCTTTCCATTCCCCCAAGGAAAGGGGTTGGAAAGAGTTGAAGCCATTGCTGAAAATTAAGTAGGGCAACACAATACTTTAGCAAACTTTATTCCCTGAAGTTAGGAGGTGCTGCCCTGTAGCTGTCACACCACCTCGTCAGACTCCAGCCCGTGGACTTCATATAAAGTGTCCAGTATGGCCAGCTGCTTTTCCATCGCAGGAAGATAAAGGCTAAGGTCCCTTTGCATCCCAATGCTGAAAGCTTCCTTGTGGTGGTCACCTTCCTTTATGGTTAATGCGGCCACAAAATCTTCATAGGATGGAGCTGCCCTCAGGGCTAACTGCAAAAGAATTGCCTGTGAGGATGTGCATCAGGATTGGTTCTTGGACATTTACTTTTATGTGTGTGTATACACATACAAACACATTCACACATACAAAAAGCTAAGAGAGTAAGAGTAAAGAAAAATGAACAGCCTTCTCTGTTCATGGATCTCTTAAACTTATGTTGCAAGCACTGAATAATATAATTTTAAGGCTAAAAATGGCAAGTGTATTCTTGGACCCTCTTATTGATACATAGTGCCACCAGGTCAGGAAATGGTAGGAGAGGAGGAGTTTAAAAAATTCTGTTTCTTGTCCATAGGGTAAACCAATTTATTCCCCCAGAATCCTGAGAATTGCCTTGTATACATGTTGCCATGTCTTTGTTCCTACATACTCAGTCTTCCAAGGTGCCTAACTCTACTATTTTATATTTCAATTCCATTTATGTTTCTTCACATATCTATTTTTTACTCACATGGAAAATATTACCTTTGTACCCTTGAGTATTTTGTAAAAGTGAAGGGAGTTAACATTTTCTGTCAGCTGATCGCATCTGAACCTGTGATCACTTCTGCACTTTTCCACCACACCACCACATCACGCCACTTCTAACAGAACTTCCTAGACTCCTCGTCTCTCCCTTCCTCACTTCTCCCCGTTCCGCTTTGCAGCCTACTTGCGAATCTAGCTAAAACTCTCCTTTCTGATATCTACACTAGGTTGGCTCTCCTGAGATCAACAGAGAAGCTTGAATACTATTCTATAATGGCTCTTTGAATCTACCTTACACTTTAAAAGTTTCATACTTTAAAAGGCTTTGAGAATCAATCGTCCCCATATCTTCAATAAATGAGTAGCATCATCATGTGAAACTAAACACAGGCATGGATGAGGTAGACTGGAATGAATCTCAGACCTCTCACACATTAACCTCAGGAATTCAAGCAACATGTTAACCTCTAAGAACTTCATTTTCTTCACCTGTAGATGGCTAATACTACTTTCCTTATTTTAAGGGTTAATAGAATGTGTAAAAAGTGTTTTCCCCTGTGGTTGGAATATATAATACTCAGATAATGCTGGGAGTACAAGGGAAGGCAGAACAGAAAATAAACAGATGGTCATATCCAAAAACATAATATGAGAAAAATTTCCAGAACTGAAGGATAGGCATCTCTTGACTTAAAGCTTAATTAAGTGTTCAGCACAATAAATGATAAAGAAAAGGGGGAGGGATTATCATTTAGAGTGGAAGAATTTAAAAAAGAGATGTAAAAGTGTTCCAGAGGTGATAATGAACAGTTTATATAAGGGACTAGGAATAGCATTACATTTTCTAGTAGTGGCAGTAAAAGTTGGAGGACAAAACAGTTATGCTTTCAAAACTCTTAGGGAAAATGATTATTAACCTAGAGTTCTAGCTGTACAAAACCAGCACACTGGGGGGGGGGGGGTAGAACCAGTGGTAGAATTCAACCATCCAGTCTGGCTGAAAAGGAGACCAGAAAGGTCAAATGGTGACTGGTTAGTGAGGGAGTTGGATGCAGGTACATCAGTTTAGGAGACAACAACTGTCTGAAGATAAAAATCTCACTGCTTGGCTTATGAATCAAATTCCTTGGATGGAAAAGGTATTTCTGTGAGAAACTAAGATCATTTAGAATGAACTTGGCTATGTTAATTAGCATGTAAGAAATCTCAATATGCCTTCCAAAGTAGTGATGACTTAAGGAATAGTAGAGGGGATGAAGGGGCCAGTCAAACTATAGACTTAGTTTTCTATTGGTAATGCTATTTTCAATTGCTCAACATAATCTATTTTCTTAAAAACCAGCAGTTTTCAAAATTATCTGCAATAAAACTCAAAGTCTTTGAAATGTTCTTACTCTGTTAACTGGAGGTAAATTATCTCACCTCTTTTGTGTCTCAGGATTCTTTGTCTATAAGCAGGGAAAATAAGAGAACCTATCTCAGAGTAATGAGATTAACAACTTTATGTATGCTAAGCACTTAAAATAATGTCTGCTGGATGGCAAATACTCAAAATCTTAAGTTAAGGTATGGTTGCAGTTTTTGGTATCAGACATATCAATTTTTATTCTAAGGAAATAAGTTTTAGTCAAAAACGCACATAAACACATGCTATGTTCTTTCTTGGAACAAACTCAGAAACAGTTTAAGTTTCTAATATAGAGGACTGAACAAATTATGATAATTTCATACTAAAGGAAGTACTAGTCATTAAAATATTTTTCTCAGACTTATGGAATTTAAAAATGTTCATGATAGAATCTGTTAAGTGGGGAGAAAGAATACAAAATTATACTACAAACTAAATGTAGAAAAATATTACAGGCATCTATAAAGTAAAGCACATAAAGATCCAAGCACACATACATAAGATACATAAGCAATAAAGATACACAATACCATACATATGTAGACATATTAACATCTATAAGTAGAAATACATAGATACATATATAAATTAAATAGATCAATTATTCAAGAGAGTGTGCAAATAAAAATACAAAAATAAAAGTTAAAAAGGTAAAACATACAAATGTTAAAAGCGGGAATCTGGGAAATTTTAGTTTTTTTCCTTCCCTATTATTCCATGATTTCTAAGTTACTTATAATGAACCTACAGTACTATCAATCTGGAAAAAAAATTGTAGGTTAAAAAGTCCTCTTGAAGGCTCCTGCTAATGATAAATTTTCTACTACAGTTGCTGCATTCTTATTGGCAACATCTCTCAGATCATCGGTATTTCAGGTTTAAATCTGCCATATACTGAAAAGAAAACCCCCAAACAAAACACATCCAACATTTGTTTCTTGTAAACAGAGCAAATGAATGTCCCTGAATTTAATGATTTAACCAATGGAACTTGTGTCAGGAAAATGGAAGCAATCATAGTGTTTACTCAGGGAAACCAATGAGCATGGTTAGCATCCATTGTCTTAAGAACTCAGTAAGTTTCTTAATTATTCTGTTTTCCCTGCACAAAGCTTGATGGCAGGAATACCAGAGCTAGCCTTGGGGACAACAGACCTGGGTTTTAACATGCTTTCTGCCATGGCTCATTCTGGGACTAGACTTCATCACTTTGAACTTATAGAACAGTGGGAATTAATCCTGAAAATTAAAAAAAAAAATAATGAACACAAAGAGTACCTGGCAGTCTTTAGCATTCAACAGGTACCAAAAACTACATGATAGCTCTTGGTATGACTAGTAAACCTGTGCTGAAGGTAATATGGGCAGTATAAAGCTGTGATTGGTCTGGCACCTATTCCACTGACTAGCAGGATATATAGCAAGCACTTTCATGCTTTCAAAATATGTCATTTCAACCAATATTAGTTTTTCGTGTTGTACATTCTTTCCACATCTTTATTAAAGAAAGCAGGAAGAGAAGAAGAAATGACCTCAACAGCTATTATCTAAACCAAGCAATGTACATTTTAAATTAGTGAAAGAATTCTGCAAGGCCATGTTACCTCCTCCCTTACAAAGAACACTCACATTCTATGAAGTTTCCTAGTGTACAGTGACAGGAGACTCTTCTGTCATGAGTGTACCATGACACAAAGGAGTCACCTACTTACAAAGTAGGGTAAGTGATTTGTCTGAGGGACTAAGATTCCTAGTTTTGTGTTCCAGCAGGCTGGGAAAGGAGAGGCGGTAGGTAACATGAGGCAAAACACATGAACATAGACATTTAAAAGCAAACTCAGTAAGAGATTTCTAGCCCTACCTGCTGGTTTAACTAACAGAGTTAATATTCAAAGATAAAATTCAGTTTTAAAAAGTCAGATAAGAGCCAAGACTTAAACAATAATTGAATACAATGGGCAGGAGAGGGAGCTATTACCTTGAATTCATCACTTGAATGGATCACTTCCCTCCAACAGTATTTGGGATCTCTGCTTCCTACCTACCTCTGACATTGACACTTAAACTTTAAATTATATATCAAGCTGGGTGTGGTGATTCACCCCTGTAATCCCAGCACTTGGGAGGCTGAGGCAAGAGGATTGTTGTGAGTTCAAGACCAGCCTGGGCTACAAAGTGAGCTCAAGGCCAGACTGAACTGCTTAAATAAATAAATAAATAAAAATAATTTAAAAATATATATATATAAAATTAAAATATATATTAAATAGTAAAATATATATTAAAAAATATATATATATATCAGACAGACAATCACTTTGGCGGTGAATCTCTCCACAAGGCCACTGGAATTGGATAGGTTAAAGCATATTTTTAAAATAGTTTTTGCTATTCTAGACACTTTTATTGCTAACATTTCCATACACCAAAGGCCTGTAAACATAAATGACATGAGAGCAACTTTTTCTTCTAATTCTCAAAAATAAACCAACCAGAAATATCACACATACAAAACACAACACCTTGCTTCCGACCATCCAAACATCAGGGGGAAAGGGATGACTTACCGCAAAAACCCCACGAACTACCCAACCATGGTGTTGCCGTAATGTTTTTCCATATGCATTATCTTGAAAAGAAAAATACCCCATGAGAAATGAGTGCAATAGAATTTGATATGATTTTTGTTATAATGTTCTTTTTAATGTATGCCATAGTATGATCCTGTATGTGCTAAGAACTGGTGAAGATATCTAATTATAAAACTATCCCCCAAGATTCATCTACTCTTATCCTGCATCAATATGGTATCATAGTAGGAAAGCTCAGCATATATAAAAAAATAAAGAGGGAGGACAGGATACTGAAAAATTGAGACTAAGTATAATTAAGAATGCACTGTTAAAAACTCTAAAAATGCAATTCTTTGAAATATGGTGTGACCCTGAGCCCTTAGCTGTCTTCTCTAACCATCTGCTTCTCCCTGTAAAATGATCTCTAAGGTTCTTTCAAATAGAGATACTCTTTTATGGGATGTCAAATGTCTGTACCTAGTGTTCTTCTGGCCCTGAATTAATAGTTAAAACTAAAAACCATTAAAAACGTGGAAAAGCCAGCACGGCAGCGTGAGCTGTAGTCTCAGCTACTTGGAAGGTTGAGGAAGGAGGAATACTTGAGCCTAGGAGTTCAAGACCAGTCTGGGCCACACAGGGAGACCTGCATCTCCAAAAACAACCACACTCAAAAAGGCCCACCCAAAACAAATAATGTTATGGAAAAATGGCTTGGATTTATTAAATTAGCTACGAAGTAAATGATGAAAGGTCTATTAATTAGTCATTCACGTTCTGTACTTTAATGACAATAATCTATTATTTTTCTCTCACGGTGTTTCAGAATGAGATTTTAAAATGGAGATATAATAATTTCAATCACAAAAGTTCACAAGGACAGCTACATTTTATGCAAGGGATGCAAGTCCTAAAGTTTTGGATTATTCAACTCATGGAAAATTAAGACCTGATTTTCCTACAGGAATGAATGAGTTCTTTGCAAACACAGATCTGTATTACACCCTGGATTTTTACTTTAGTACTTGATTTTATCTATGGCATCATCTTCAGTAGTATTACTGGGAGGACATTTGTAACCCCCAAAACCTACTATTTGTCCTTTTTTATCTTTTCTTGAAACCCTCCAAACCCTAGTTTGAAAAGTTTCACTTACTTTATAGCCTACCCATTATACTCTAGATACGTAGCTAGCAGTTAGAAAGTGAACTTTGGCCAACTTCCCAAAAGGCCTCCTTCCCCATACTTAGACATAAACATGGAAAGGGGAACAAATTGTTTTATTTCAAGGTGGACAAACTGCCCAATGACTACCTCCTATGTGCCAGTTAACCAGATGTGTAAGAAGGTCTGTGACACTCCAGTAATGATGGCATTGTAAGAAGTGATATCCATGGCAACTCTCTGACTTCATGAACCCATGTAGGGGTATAAAAAGAAAGGAGAACAAAGGATCAAGGCCAGCAGCTCCAACCGCCTAAGCCTGTTGACTGCTGCAGTTTCTGAAATAAAACTCACTTGTTTCCCAGCTCTTCGTCTTCCATGGCTAACTCTCATGGGAGCTGATGCATTACTAGCACAGTGAGTGTATCGCGGTGGTTGTTTCACCTCTTTCATCTTTGTATTTTATATGACCACATCTAAATTCCCTATTTCTTTTTTTTTTTTTTTTTTTTGTCTTTTTCCTTTTTATTGGTACCGGGGATTGAACTCACGACTGCCTGCTTGCAAGGCAGGCGCTTATGCCGCTGAGCTAAACCTCCAGCCCCTAAATTCCCTATTTCAAACTTACTTTTTTCATGTGTTAATTTCAGCACCTAGCACTAATACAACCATATAATGAATGCATAAATGACACTGTAATCAGCTATAAAAATATTTTCAACTAAAATAAGAACAGACTTTAAAATTATAAAGTCACAGTAACATCACAAGTACAAATTTCTATGCAGTAAAAACAATGTAGTTCACAGAACACTGTCACAGAAAGTTAGATGTTTGTGTTTCACTTGCAAAAATGATCCTATGTGGCTGCAGTTAACTAACACTTCACAGGTTACTCAAACTCACAAGCTTTGTAATTAAGTTTCATTTCAGTATAGGTGCTGCTGAAGTGAGCAGTCAATCTTTATTTAAACAATATGTAGGCTTTATTAATATTTCTATATTCTATTTTAATTTTACATAATTTGAATTTGTACAAATACAATTATGTTTTGTATAACAGAATCTATGCAACATTAATTGCAATACATTTTATATAAAAGACTGTACATTTGGACTGTAACAACAGATTTCCCTGGCTATCTAAAATATTAAGAACAGTGTGAAATGTCAGCATTAAATGTGGCAAAATTCAAGCAGAGATAATAGAGAGTTAAATTCAACTGTGAAGAAGATTCAGCCTAAAGGAGAAACTAAGATTAAGTTTCTTCCTCAGGAAACATTGAATAGACCAGGGAATGGTCAAAGGTAACATCTTTAATGTAAGTCACTAAGCCAGTTGATTTTCTGGAAGGAGATGTGTAACACCAGGGAAATTTCTGATGGTACACAAGGCCTATGAAGAGATCTTAAGAAAGGGTTGCTGATGCACAAATATGCAGTACAGATAGAGAAATTAGATACAGCCACTGAGAAAAATCAGCAAGACAACCACATTTCCAACCACTTCAACCATCCGACAAGCCATATGGGCTAGCAAGAGAATACAAAATTTCATAGAAAACATCCCAAGAGGAGTCAAGAAGATACCACAAGAGTGAGAATTCTTGTTTTTTGTGACTGTAATCCAGGCAGGGCATCAAATACCATTATAAATACATTCAAATCTGATGATGGATATCGGCACTGAACAGCTGGTCTGCTTAAGGATTTAGTGCAAGTCTACTATACTCCACATACTGTGCAAGGCAGAAGTTGACAGGTTTATAAGGGAGTTTGCTAACGGTTATTACTGACATTTGTACCTTGTGCTACAGGCACAGAGATAAATTTATCCTGATATGGTGGACAGAAAGAATTAAGAGTCCTTGTAGGCAGTGGGAAGCCACAGGCACACAGCATGTTGGGCTTCAGTAAGCAGTTCACTGTGGCTGTGGAGAGGGGCTTCACAAGATCTTTACCCATCACGTCAGAGATTCTGAACTTCTATGACATAGTACCACTTTCAAAAAATGTAATGCTTTTTTTCCTGATTACAAATAATGTATGATCATCACAAAAAATAGGAAATTCTAAAAACAGGAGGAACTAAACAAACCTATGGTCCAGTGATGGTGATCATTTTAGAGCTTTCAAGGGCCCGCTGTGGAACATGTGGCTTCGGTTCACCACCACTGCCAGTCATTTCTCTCAGACTTAACCACAGTGGGCATTCCGGGGAAATATTATTTTTTATGGAAAAAAATTGTTATTCTATAAAATGTATTATTTTCTTGTTAAAATGTAATCATCAGTCAGGCGGAATGGTGCATGTTCATAATCCCAGCACTCAACAGGCTGAGGCAGGATTGGCATGGGTTTGACGCCAGCCTGGACTACATAATAAGTTTAAGGCCAGTTTGAATGGCATAGCCTAACTCTGTCTTTAAAAAAAAAGTCACCATCAAAAAGACAAAGGTCTTCACTCTGACTTGGAATTGCTGTAGAAGGGAATTAACAAGTTGAGACTCATACTTTTTGACAAAAAGTATCAGACATATTGTTTTGGGCCCTGAGCTTTAGACACAAAGCCACTTAACTGGAAAAACTGCTTGTGTAAAGGGGTACTCGGTTCAGCACTACACCAACCGCGAACTTACACCTTTTACCTCTGCCATCAAGGTCAATCATTCCAAAAGCCTGGAAACCCTTCTCCATGCCATCCTTTGAAAGGACAGGAGTAAGACAAAAAGGAAATCATGTTTCCTATGTGTCTAAACAGCACAGCCCCCCTGACTTAAGGACAAGGGTATGTATCGACAACAGTGCCATCTGTGCCTGCCCATCTGGTCCTTCAGAGGAAGCAGTTGTTGCTTGTTGTATTTGCACCTGCACACAGCACAGTCCCACCTGTGAGATGATCCAGATGGCCTATCAGAAGAAGAATCACAGAATATGGTTTGGGTGCTGCCTCAGGCCAGGAAGTCAACTGCTAAAATTTAAAATCAATAAATGAACAAAAATTAATTTTTTTTTTTTTGGTCTTTTTCATTTTTATCGGTACCAGGGATCGAACTCACGACTGCCTGCTTGCAAGGCAGGCACTTATGCCGCTGAGCTAAATCCCCAGCCCCCAAAAACTAATTTTTAAAAGGCAAAAGTCCTTAGCTGACTTTTAGGGCTGCAAATATCCCTGCCACATTAGGCTGCATTAAAATAAGATGAAGTCTAAATTTGACCTATTTTGGTTACCTAGAGAAGATTAGATAATGAAATGTATTACTCTTCACAATAATACCCATTCATTATCATAATGCATATTCTATTTGAGAATATTTTTGGTCTCTGAAAGACATAAATGCCACCTTTTCCCAAATTCTTTGAAACATGTCAGTTGCCCCAGAGACTGGAATCAAAACCTCTGACTAGGAAGACTTGATAATCACTTTGCCCGATTCGATACCTTTACAAATGAAGACATGGAGATCCCACTGACTTGACCAAGGTTATAAAGCTAAAAGGCAATGAAACTCAGGGGATTCAGTATTACGTCAAAACCATTCTGCCACAAACTACCATTTATTCTTTGTCAAACAGTAATGAAAATGAAAAATATGGCCCTGCCAGTCATTTCCTTAAAAATTAGCACCTTATTCTGACTATGCAAACACACAGCTCTTCTTCTTCTTCTTCTAAATAACATGAAAGAAGTGCTCAGAGATGCCCTTTGTGAGCTTCAGACATTACCATTAGGAAAACTTGGTGGCTGGCCAAGTACTACCAGTGCAGACACATGCTGGAAATGGCTCTGGAGAGGGCATGGCCTGATTCACGTCCCACAATATTTGTAATTAGTCAAGTTACGATTTGATACTAAATCTGCAAGTATGAGTTCTTTTTCTTAGTTCTCCTTGTTTTTGAAAGCCTTTCACATTAATATATAACTGAGCATCATTTAAGTTTTTCCTATTCTGTGCCAGAGATATTCTCAGGGTTAATCTTTCCTTGACATTTATGGAATCATTCTGAAGCGAGAGATGCAGCAATATGCTATCATGCTGAAAGAACTGGACAACACATAACATTTAGTACAATGGTGCATGAAATGCCAGAGCCACTTTTTTTCCTTCTACCTACAAGGGTGCTTTCCAAAACCCTTTTCATGTGGCATCTGCAAATAGAGGGGTTCAGTCCTAGGGCAGACTATTAAATATACGTGCCTTATGGACTCAACTCCTTTCAAGTGACATCCACTGTGTGACACACGATGCTAAGGGTACAGAATAACTGTTGGAATGCGACTAACCAAAATGTTTCACTGTGTTATTATGGGGAATCTAACTCATGATCCAAGTGAAAAACAAAACAAAACAAATAAACAACAACAAAAAACAAGGCAGTTTGAAGCATCAGGCCTCCTTCTAGGTACTAGGAGCTCATCCAGGTAATATGCAGCAATACAATCATAACATACGTTTTCCAGAAAACTAATAGGCACCAATCATTCCACTGTTTTCTGTTTCTTTTTTTTTCTTTTGCTATGTAGTCTAGACTGGCCTTGAACTTACTATATAGCCCAGGTTGGCCCCAAATTAGTGATCCTCCTCTCTCAGCCTCCTGAGTGCTGGGATTACAGGCACGCACCACCACACCTGTCTCCAATGTGTCATTTAGGACTCTGACATATCACCCATCTCTAAGGCCACTAAGACTGTAAGTTTTATGAGCATTTACTTCAAAACATTTCTTAGGCAGTGTTTTACTGAAAAGCTATCTAATTATGATGAAAAGGAGGCAAAATTAACTGCTACTATGACTAATTTACTTAATAACCCCTCAAATACAGGAAGGGAAGAAAACTTCAAGTAATCAAGATGTAGTCAAGTGGAAGGTGAGCTTCAAAGTCTGGATCTATTAGAAGATGAGCAGGTCTCAAACTTCAGTATGGACCAAAATCTCCCTGCCAGGCCCCACTCTGGAGTTTCCAATTTAGCAGGCCTGAGGAAGGGCCTGAAGGTCCATGTTCTTGTAAGTTTCCAAGTAGTTAAGATGTTACTGTCCTGGGGCCAATGTGGCAACTAAAGATCCAGGTTTTTAAATCTTAGGGAAGGTTCGTACCCTCTTCAAACCAACTTATTTGGAAGATTAAATGTTTATCAAGAACAATACAAAAATTACACTGGATACTTTTTTTTTTGGTCTTTTTGGGACAGGGTTTTATTATGCAGTTTAGGCTGGCCTTGAATTTGCAGCAATCCTCCTGCCTCAGTCTCCTGAGTACTGGTATTACAGGGGTGTGCCACCTCACCCAATCAACACTGAACTCTTTAGCAGTAGTCATTTTCACAGTAAATCAAATTGAATTTTAGACTTAGGAAACAAAACAAGACAAAACAAAAAGCAAGCTAATTTGCCTTATATGGCATATAAATAGCACATACCCCCACATCTCTCATTTCTGACAAGATATTGGTTCCTCATATAAAGTTTGTGATTTTAAAGTAAGAAAGGAAATGCAATTATCCCACAAGAAACATGCATTGAGGAGCCCAGCTTATAGGGTCTTTGTAAACAAGTCTCAATAGCCACATTTGTTTGTACAGAGCTTCTTTTGCCTGTGTCTGGAGGGGAGGAAGGGTAATTGGTTAAGTGTACTTTATCTCTTCTCAGTGAAGAGCAGCAGGAAATTAGAGATTACTACAATCAAAGATATGATTTTAATCAAGAAAATCATCTTTGAAATGACATGAACGTCAGAATTAAAATATCAAATTCACAGCCCCCATTTCAGCACTGAAAATAGAACTGTAGTGGAAGGGGAAAAAGGAAGAGCTGAGATCAGCCATGATTAATTCAGTCACAAAGCAGGTTTTGCCTGAAAACTCTCTTGTTTCTTCAGAGTCCACATCTACCGGGGCCAGGCTCCAAATGAAATAAAAGGCATGAGCTAAAGGAGAAAAAGGTACAAAGCGAGGATGGGGGCAGGGTTTAAGGGCATATGCTCTACCTCCATTCCACCTTCAGGGTCAAAGCCTTTTTCCATGAGCAGCTGGTTCTATTTTAGCCCAGTTCCAGCAAGGTCTCAATGGGAATGGTACTGCCTGCCTCCTCTCTGCTGACATAGCAGCATGCAACTGTGCAATTCACAGGTATGCAACGCCGACTCCCAAATCTTCTGCATTCCTACAGGTGATGTCATCCTTCCAGTGTGAAATCTCCATTAAGAAGTTAGTTTGAAGAGAAGCTTCTGGTTTGTGAGCTGAGTTTAACAAACTAACCTACCATTTCTGATTTGGGACAAATAAGTCCCATTTCCCTGCAGGTTATCAACTTCACATGTGATGGTTGTGATCATAATGATAAAAGAATAAATGATGTAAGAATAATGATAAAAGAATAAATAAAAAGAAAAATGATAAAAGAATAATGATAAAAGAACAAAGCACTCTACTGAGTGCTTATTATGTGCCCAAAGCTTTTCTAATTTTTTTCAGATGCATGAACCTATATAATCTCTTTGCTTGTTTGTTTTGTTTTTTGAAACCAGGAATCGAACTCAGGGCACTGCCTTGCCAATGAGTCATACCCCAGCCCCAAATCCCTATATAATCTTTAAAACAACTTTATTAGAGAAATAGTATCACCAGCTCTGTTTTATAGATAAAAGAAATGGAGGCACAAAGAGGTTAGTAAGTGACCATTCCAGAATCCATGCTCCAGTGGTCATTCCACACGCCCTATCATTTCACATATACTGACTAGAGGGCACGAGTGGAGGTGGTGAATACACGTTTTTTGTTTTTTTTTTTTTATCAGTACCAGGGACTGTACTCATAACCACGTGCTTGCAAGGCAGGCGCTTATGCCACTGAGTTAAAACCCCAGCATTGTGAATACACTTTTAGTACTCAAAAGCACAACATAAAAGGAGAATAAACTGAACCTGCCTTGAAATACGGAGATTTACAGGGAATTAAAAATGGAAGGTGGTCAGGGATTGTGAAGACTGAAAATATGGAGTTTTGAGGTAAGGGTTGTAAGGGTTGCCTCAGATCCCTGTGAAGGTCTGAAACAAGCATTTTAGTCTTTCATAATTTTGATTCCCTTTCATATAAAGATAGATTGATGTAAAGATTAAGTTGCTTAAATCCACAAGGTGTTACTGAAACATCCATACTAATTGTTTTATGGCACACCAGCAATTTCTAGACCAGGTGGCTTGCGGAAATCATATGGAAGCAGAATCTCTCAAGATTCATACCCCAGAAGGAAGACTAACAGAAGGTGGCAGAATCTACCTGTAAAACTGAAAAAGATAACACACAGAACACTGGCTCTCCTCTCTACCAGAAACATCTAATTAGTTCCTTTTACTACTCATAATCATGGCTACTCAACACCTAACTACATAAATTACAGTAATGCAGGACCTCAAATAATATGGCATTTCATTCTTCCTCAAACACATGCCTCAAGGCCTACAGTCCAATGTGAGAGTTTAATCACTCCATTAGGAACTCGGTGAGGTGCTTCCAAGTCTTAGTATTTTCCTAAATAAGGTCTGATAGATGCCTGCACACATCCATCATCCACCCATCTGTCAAATGCTGACAAAGTACCTACAATGTTGCTGTCAAAATGCTAGATATATTGTGTAGGGTAAACTCCTTTGACCAGGGCCTTTCTCCAAGTCTTGGCTCTGTGTACAAAATGAGACACACAGATAATCTGAGGAGTACAGGATGATGACTGGCTCTTAATCTCATTCCAGAACAAATCCCCAGGATTTCTACCTCCAATTCTTTTTATAGCTTCTGGAGTGAGCGTCTCTTTGAATACAGATTTGAGCATTTCATTATATTTGAAGATTTATTTAATAAAACTAAGAAAGCTAATTTCTTAATATTATGTCTTTCTATTAAATTTAAGGGATGGCTTTCCATCAATTTATACTTTTTAATAAGTAACTACTTACTTATAATACTTTTTAATAAGTAGCTACATTACTGGGACACTGTTGTATGAGTTTTGTCTTGCTTTGTTTTGTTTCTGTAGATGTGGCATTGCTACATAGCCCAGGCTGACCTAAAACTTGCAGTGATCCTCCTGCCTCTATCCCGAGTGCTAGGATTACAGGCATTCACCACCACATCTGATTCATTAGTCCTTTTAAAACAAAGTATACAGGAAGCATACAATCCATAACAATGAAATAAGAGACAAAACCAAACTCTGAAAAGTAGAAACTTCCTATATCCTGCCTCATTCTTCAAGGATTTCCATTCCAAATACTACTCAAATGATATATCAAAATGTAAAGAATACTTACTCAGGGCTGTCTGGATATCCTTTTCACCATTTTTCACTTCTGTCAAAAATCCTTTTAAAAATTTGAGACCTCTGAATAAAAAAGGGAGAAATATTTTCAAGGCTTGTTTATATGACTGAGTATAAAATGGCAAATACCAAAGCTCCTATTTCAATAACGTTCCAGACATAGCAATAAATAGGCCAAATCATAGAAAGTCTCTGGACCTTTCCCTTACCCCATCTAATATACCTAAAGTAGTTCAAAACGTGGTCCCAGGACTAGGGCTGTAGCATTACTTGGGATTTATTACAATTATAAATTCCAAGACCTTCCCTTAAACTTAAGGAGCCAGAAATTCTGGTTTTAAATCCAGTGTTTTTAACAAGTCCTTAAGAAAATTCTGATGCCATGAAAGTTGAAGAGTCATTGACTTAAAGCTGAATTTCCTGTCCTTTAAGATTTCTATCATTCATCTATATAAACATAAATATATATACATATACATGCATATATTTTAATATATACAATATCATCATTAAAAGAGATGCAAAAAAAGAAGAGGTGATGTGCTTTCTAGAAAGGGCAACACAATTTGGTTAGATTCTTCTTTCACAAGTAGTCTTTTTTGTGCTGGTAACATTTGCTGGATTTTAGCTGCTGCCCCACCAACTGCCTCACCTCTTCAGCCACAAGAGGGCTTCAGTAGCTGAGTTCCTAACCTGAGCTACATCCGCCTCCACTTCATGCAGCACTATTTTCTGGAGGGTAGTAAACTCTTCCTTGTTGGTTATATACTTCTGATTTACTTTCTGGAGGAAAAACAAGGAAATAACCAATGTTACAGACACTAAAGTTACCAAGCAAAGTAAGTATTAGCATTGAGGTTTAACTATGGCAAGAAGGCCTCTAAGAAATGAAAATAAAACTACTAACTTTCTTCTTGTTGACTAGAAGACTTAAAATAAAATTAAATATTAGTCCTAGGGTTTTAAATTATTGTTTTTGGAATATTTTTTTCCTGCCTTGAAGCCGCTTCTCCAGCTGAGTTTAGCAGACATTTTTTTATTTGGGATACAAAACTCAACAAGGACAATGAGCACATCTCATGCAACTATTCCCTCAGAATATACAATGAGCATGCCTGCAGGAACTTCTTATCTGCTTCCTCAAACAGTGTATCTCGTGATGAAAGACACTCATCTTTGCTTACTATGTTTCTCAAGAAAGTAACACGCATTCTACATTTAAGAAGAGACTCAAAGTTTAAAGGTTGGAAGTAATATTTACAACTTAACTAGGAAGGAGGAGGCTCCGAGAGACTCCTATACTGCTGACAGTCCCCTGCAGTTGCACCTGAAGTCGGACATTGTGAGTCTGCTCACTGACAATTACAGTCTCTAACAGTTCTGGGAGATATGTAACTTGTCATTGTTTATATCCAAAAAGCACAGAATCACTGTTGACATTACAGTGGATCTCCACTGATCCATGCTGGGGCATGAAAAGGAAATGCTGGTTTCATATTTAAAACAAACATTCCACGCCACAAAAAGCCTGCCTCCAGTGTACAGCAAGGGCATCATTAGTTATCCTGCTGAACATTCACAATGTGAGAACAAAGATTCTTGTTCTTTGAAAGAACTGTAATATGTGTTTTACTTTTTGATTTAAATTCTTGTTAAACATACAAGTATTGAAAATATTTTTCTTTATTTACAAGTTCTCACAGAGACAAGCCAGTATACAAACCTTAATATTTCCAACAAGATCCATTTTTACAGGAGCAAACACTGTAGGGCCAAGTTTATCTGGAATAAAAGATCAAAAATTTTTAAAATTGTTTACTCAGACAAAGTTTTGGTGTAAGCTCAGGTTGGCTTCAAAGTCACTTATATACCCAGGGCTGGCCTTGACCTCACATGCCTTCTGCCTCAGCCAAAGAATGTTAGGATTATAGGCAATAGATTTTCTGTATCATTTTCTAAACCAGATTGAAAAGCTTGACATTGTTACCACTTTTTCCTATCAAATTACTCTGAGGTAAGTAATTATAATGAGGTCTTAAATGTCAGGTGTAATGTAGAGAATCTTACAAACTTAGAATACACTTTTGAAATTCTTAGGGCTGAATATTTAGCACCTGCAATGTGGCCAGTTTAAATTGAAGTAAGTACATATCAAATTCTGCAGTACCAAAGAAAGTTGTAATGATTCTTTTATATTGACTACATGTTGAGATATTTAGGATATACTATATTAATAAAACACACTAACATTTGTTTTACTATTTTAATGTATCTACTAGAAAATATTACATTTGTGGTTTCAACATTTGTTAGACCTGTTTGCTAAATATAATTACCATATTTTTATAATTGCCAGTTTTAAGTTTACTAAAGTTATTTTTACTGAAAAAGTATAGGAGATTGGTCTCTGCCTGCCAGGCACTGCCACTGTAAGGCCCTTTCCTCTGTGTGCCCAGTGCAGGCCATGAGAACCAGGAGATCAGCCTCTGCCTGCTGGGTGTTGCCACTGGAGGGCCCCTTCTTCCATGCGGATTGAGGGAGACAGACAGATCCACCTCTGCCTGCTGTGCATCACCACCAAAAAGCCACGTCCTGCAGGTGGCCAACATGGGCAGAGAAAAACAGCAGATCCGTCTTCACTCTCAGGGAGCTGCCACCAGAAGGCTCCTTCCTGCAGGCAGCCAGCAGGAACAGAGACACACAGCCAGGTAAGCCCTGTGCATCTGTAGGCCATCACTGGAGGACCTTGGTTCCCAGGCAGCCATCACCCACTAGCAGTATCAGACAAACACACTCCTATGTATCTGCCACCATCGTGGGAGTCCCAGTGTAGTCACACAGGATAAGAGAAGCAACCCCACCTCCATGTACCCCTGATCATCAGCAAAGCCAGTGTAGCTGCATAGGCCTAGAGAAGCCTGCTCCACATCCTCCTATCTCTCTGTAAATCTGGAATTAGAGGAACCCAGGTGTCTGTCTCATCCCCCTACACTGCCTAGAGGCAGCCAACAGAGGAAGTGCCGAGGGCTCCCCAACCTGGTTTTTTGGAGGAACCCAGGAGAATGTCAAGAGGAAGGAACAAAAGGCAAACTGAGCCCTCTAGCCCACACAGAATAAGTCTGAGAGATACAGTCATGGAAGAAAACGAAAGTCACACACCTGAAATCTCTGAGAGGATAGCAAATGAAGTAAGGAAACAACTTCATGAGATTGTAAAAGCTGTCAAATCCGAAATAATGTCTCAAGTAAAAGAAGAAATCACAAACATAATGAAAGAATTGTTCAGCAAGTCTAAAGAAGACAGAGACAATAAAGAGGTGCATAGGAAAATGATGGAATCTTGAATGAATGTAGAAAGGAATTACAATGCATGAAACATTCAAAGAGAGATGCAGGAAATTAAAAATTCAATCAAAAGCTGGCAAAACTACTTGAAAGAGACTGAAGATAGACTTTCAAACTTTGAAGACAGGATTGCAGCTAGTGAATGTGAAAGGAAAGATCTCTTAAAAATAACATGGAATCAGGAAATAACAACCCAATGGCTGCAAGAGGATGCAAAGAAGTATAACTTAAGAATGATAGGTGTAGGTGAAGAAGTAGGGGTCAACACAAATGAAATTAAAAGAATATTCACAGAAGTAATAGAAAACTTCTCAAACATGGCCAATGGATCTGGCATACAGAAAGTGAGGCATATAGAACTCCAACTAGCCATAACCAAAGTAAATCTACACCCAGACATACAATAATCAAGATCCCAAAAATTCAGCACAAGAATAGAATATTAAAAGCTGTTAGAGAAAAAAAGACAGATTACCTATAAAGGAAAACCAATCAGAATCACATCAGACTTAGCAGCACAAACCATCAAGAAGAGTCTGAAGTATTTCAAACCATAAAAGAAAACAACTTCTAACCCAGACTGATCTGCTCTGCAAAACTATCTTTCAAAATTGATAAAAAAATAAGATACTTCCACGGTAAAGAACAACTGAAGGAATTCATGACTACCAAACCAACTCTACAGAGAGTGCTAAAGGATATTCTAAAGAGAGACAAAGCTGACCATGGTTCCAGGGACAGCAGCAGAGGAAGATCACCAAACAAGACAGGCAACTGGATGAAGGGGAAAAGTGAAGGGCCAACAACAGGTGGATAGCAGGGCAGAGACAAAACCAATGTATGCCGGTTGTAAACATTAATGTAGATGGCTTCAGATCAGCAATAAAAAGAAACACAGGGAGAGTGGATCAAGAAACAAGATCCATTGATGCACTGTACACAAGAAACACGTTTAACTGGAAAGGAAATTCATAGACTAAAAATCAAAGGAGAGAAAACAATAGTTTCATGTGACAGGAGACCAAAAAAAAAAAAAAAAAAAAAAAAAGCAAGACTAATGTGCCCATCAACCACAGAATGGATAAGAAAGATATGGTATTTTCATGCAGTGGAAAGCTACCCAGCTATAAAGTAGAATAATCTCAAGGCTCATTTAGGTAAATGGATATAACTGGAGATCATGTTCATAGCCGAAACAGTTCGAACACATACGTGTGAACCCTAGCATAAGAAACAGGAGTTAATGGGATCCCAAGGCAAAATGTGAGAGCAAAGGGGAGGAAATACTTGGGAGGGAAAAATGGAAACTACTGTCAATTTTTTATTGTGTTATCTTGAACTCTTGCATTGTTTACACAATTTTGTTAGGTTTGGCTTTATTCTGTCTTGTTTTGTTAGATTCTATGCTGTCAGATGGTAGGGGCAGCTATTTTGAATATACTGGAAAATACTATGGTAATCATGGTTTCCTATTATATTGCTTTGAAGTCTTACAATGCTTTCATTCATTTGTCTGCTTGGTTTTATTCTGTTTTGTTTGATTTTATTATGTGTAATGGTATGAATGGTATGTAATGATATGAATAGCTATTTTGAATGGTATGAATAGCTATATATGGTAACCATAGCTGATTTACTATAATCTTGCTTTGAATCCTACCATGCTTTTGTTCTTCTGTTTTAATTGGTTCTATCCTGTTGTACTTTATTTGATTTTATTATGTGTGATGGTATAGACAAATTTTTTGAAAAAAAATTTTTTTGAGGAAAATGAAATATTATAGTAGCCATTGTTCATTTCCTGTTATTTGGTTTTGAAGTCCTGTAATGCCTTCATTCTTTTGAATAGTCTTCTACTTTTTTTATGTTTGATATTAATGTGTGTGAAGGTATGCTCAACTATTTCGAAGAAAAGAGACATTATGGTAGCTACTGCTGATGTCCGGGTGTTTGGTTGTGAAGTGCTACGTTGCTTGCATTGTTCTGTTCTCTTTTGTTTTATTCTCTTTAAAATTAAAAATTAAAAAAGAAAAAAAAGTATAGCTTAAAAAGGTTAGAAAACAAGAGATAATGGAATTCTTAAAATTTTTTTGATTGAGTTTTTAAAAAGATATAATAGTTTAAAAAGCCAAAAGTAGTAATAAAATAGCACACTAAAAAAAATTGACTCTTGGTGAAGCATGAGGAAAGGAATTAGGCAGGGATATTTGGAAAATAGAAAATAAATACAACCTGGTAGAACCAAACAGAGAACAGAATTAACCAAAACAATGCATTTCACTGTATTAATAAGTTACAGGAAAATGATAATTTAAAAAGTATAGAAACAGCCATTTATACAAAAACAACTTTAGACTTAATAAAAATCAATTTACATGCTATTAGTAAATAACTAGAAAATGAAATAAAATACTTTTTACAATAACATTAAAACCACAAAATTCTAAAATTTAATCCTAATAAAAAACAAAACTGTACTAAACATTACTAGAGAAAATAAAGATGACTATGAAGTGTATGTATATGAGAGAGAGAGAGAGAAAGAGAGAGAAAGAGAGAATTAGATGGATGGATTAGACTGGAAGATTCAATGTTGTTCAAGATAGCAATTTTCCCCTAATTATTTACAAACACAATGTAACCTTAAACAAAAGGCTTTTTAATAGAAGTGGAAAAGCCACAACTTATACAGATATGCAAAGGATCTGGATAAAATTGACAAAACAATTTTAATTAAGAACAAAATTGGAAGTTACATAAAAATTAAGAGTCTAGACAAGAAAACAGACTATTTTATGACCTTTGGCTTTAACAAATGAGTATTTCTTAGAACATGGGAAACATTAGCCATAAAAAAGAAGCTGGATTTCATCAAAATCGAACTACTGCTTTTCAAAAGACATCTTAAAAAAGAAACAGGTAAGTTATAGTCTGAGGAAAAATATTCACGTATAATGGAGTATATAAAGATCACTTAATAAGCAGCAAGAAGAAACTTTATTAGCCATCAGGTTAAAACCATCAAATTAAAGCTATCACGAGATACCATTAAATGTTCAGAGGAATGGCCAAAATCAAAGATACTGATGCTGCCAAATGTTGCTGAAGATGTGAAGCAGTTATAGTACTTATTTGCCACTATAGAAAGCATGCAATCATGCAACCATCTATCTATAGTTTGGCAATTTAATAGAAAGTTAAATAGCAATCCTGATCAAGTGTTTACTCAAAAGAAATAAAAAACATATGCCTCCAGACACAGAAATATTCAGGAAAAGTTTATTAATAACACAAACTACCCAGTTGTCCAACAGAATGAATAAATTATGGTATAGTCATTCAGTGGAACATCATTCAGTAATAAAAAGGAATGAATTATGGATACATACAACAAAGATAGTGCTTAAAAACATGCTAAGTGAAAAAAGTTAGATTCAAGAATGTATAATGATTTGATTTGTGTGAAGTTTTTGAACAGCAAAACTAACCTAAACTGACAGTAATCAACAAAATGATTACCTCATACTGAGTAGAGGATTGGGGATCAATTATCACATGGAATGTTCTGGGGTGATGAAAATCTTTCTTATTTTTTAGGAACACAAATTATATGGATATAGGTAAAGTATATAGGCAAGGGTAAATTACAGAGCTGCATTTATCAAAATTGAATCATAATACCAATCAGTTCTATAAAAGTTATTCCTAAATTTAAAAAATCGACAGTTAAATGCATTATATAGCAAATTTTATCACATTAGTAATTCCTGGTATTACTGACTTTATACTAAGAAGATCTAAATTTAAACAAACTTACAGAGACACATTTTCTTTTTTTTTTTTTTGAGGATTAACCCAGGGCCTCACATGTGCTTGTAAGTGCTCTACTACTGAGTTAGCGTTTTTAAAATTGTGAAACAGGGTCTTGCTATGAAGCTCAGGCTGAACTTATGATGCTCCTGCCTCAGCCTTCTGAGTAGGTGGGATAATAGGCATGCATCACCATTCCTGGTTTGTAATGGTTTTTACTTTTATGGGTTTTTTTGGTTTGTTTTGGTACCGGGATTGAACTCCTGACCTCAAGCTTTCCAGGTAGGTGTTTACCTTGCTGAGCTAAATTCCTGGCTCTTGTAATGGTTTTTAAATCTTTGTTGTAACTGATGACAAATTCTTTTGTATAGTATCAATAGGTTTGCAGAACTGTTCCTCGACTATTTTCACTTGTGCTTTTATATATACTTTCTAGAAAGCAGAATTCTCTTTTTTCATTACACCATTCTGAGGTCAATATTAGACACGAAATGGGAGCATACAATAATGTTTTATGGTCAGACAATTTTAACTTTATGTGTCTGGTCATATGAAAGGTTGCCTCACTATATTTCTCCTGAAAAATAATGCAGTAAGATATTTTAGAAACTAACGAGTGAAAGATAACTGCAGAAATCTTACCTAATACTGGAACCACAGCATAACATGATGCCAAAAAAGCTTCTGTGGGAATGCCACTGTCTTCCAGAAGTTCAATGTCACTAAAGCTTAAAAATTTGGTGAAATCGAGGAGGAAAGATTGAAAATCAGCATTCTCTGCAGTTCAAAGTCCTAGAAACAGCTGCCTCTCTACAGGGCAGAGATTTCATGATTTCATGGTTGTCCCCAACTGATATTTTTTAAATTATAAAAATGGTCCATTAAGGTAATTTTCTACAGATAGTTCACCAAAACAAACAAAGAACACCCTCTTCACAATCCAACTCCTTTTCACCCACTATTCAGACAAGGTAAGTAGTAAAGTAGATAAACTGGTATATCATGTCCTCTTTTTTCTCAGAATACACTACCACCTGAAAGTACTTTTATGGGTGACGTTCCAGAAGGAAAACCAATACCCAACTGTTAGTGATTTGAGGTGGTGTATACTACCTGGTGTTCATAGTACTGAAGAAAGTTGGGATGACTTCTTTTCCCTCTTCCCAGAGGGATTCTGGAGGGCAATTTGAAGAGTTTGATGTATGCCTTGCCAAGTTGCTCTCATGATTTCTCAAGTTTTCTTCTCCATCTTCCTTCATTATTTCACTTTGAACTGCAAAGCACAAGGTACCATCACTAATCTATTATATAGATCTTCTATAAATGGGAAAAGATATCAAGAGATGAGGGGGAGGTTAGAAAAGAATGAAGATGTGTTATTTACATGTAGTGACTCCCCATAACAAATGTGATTTGATCATCATGTGCTACAAATATGTACTAATACAACTCAGAAAATTAATACACAATCATTGGTGAAAACTGGTGAAACACTAAAAAGTATGGAAAAACAAAAATTGAAATACTGTACAATACATACATACATACATATTCAAACAAAACTGGTTTAAATACTAAATTTTATTCTGCTTATTTTCACAAGTGTTTCATGAGTATTTCCATTATCATTCAATGTTGTTCAAAAACAGTATTTTAATGACCATGTAATAGTGCATCATGACCAAGTGAAGTGCATTAGATAACTTTCAAACTTCTATTATAATTAGTCAATCTTTGTTCTGGGCATATTTGATATTTGTGACTTTGCTTACTTGCTAAAATTTGTAACTCTAAAATCAATACTGGCAGTACTTTTCTATTGGACATAAGGAGAGTGGTAAAAAAAATCTGTCACCTGACATGCACCTTCCTAGCTGAGGTGAAACAAGGTAATGCTCTTGTTTCAATTCTCATACTATAAATAAAAATAAATGTCCTTCTTTAGTAGCACATATTTTGCATGCTTGTGCTCTTGTTTTGCGCACTGAACCCAGGGCCATGCATGTGCTAGGTAAGCACTCTACCAGTGAGCTACATCCACAGCCTTTTAAAATTTGACTGAGACAGGGTCTTACTAAATTGCTTAGGCTTGCTTGATCTTGTGATCCTCCTATCTTAGCTTCTGAAATAATGGGGATTATAGGCATATACTAATATGCCTGACTATGTTTGTGCTTCTTAAAAGGTACCACACCTGTAATAGTGAGATATATATACATATATATATGAAATGTGCTTTAGTAAAAAAATACGTCTGTTAAGCATCAGTTATAGTACTACTGGCTGTGAGTTCAATGGTACTGAATCAATAATACATATAGACATGGTGATTTTAAACGGAAGCACACATAAAACAAGGTTATATATTGATTGGCCAATAAAAATGCTGTGACCAGAGGCCTGAAGGGGGTTCACTTTGTCAACTCCTCTAGAAGCAACAGCACTGTGTTGGTTACTTTTCTCTTGCTAAGACAAAATACCTGATGCCCAAAATTACAGAAGGAAAAGATTCTTTAGCTCACAGTTTGTTGAGGTTTCAGTCCATAATCTGATGGATCCAAGACAGGGTACCTCATGGCAGAGGGTAACAATTCATGAAACCAGAAAACAGCAAAAAGCAACAAGAGTAAATAGGAAAGAGAGAAGCCTCTTTCTGTTCCTTAAATTGTATGCAGGCCAGCCACCCCAGGTTGGGTGTAGCACTAACACTCATAATCCCAACATTGCACTATGAATCAACTGCAAATTCTAGAGCCTGTCCCCATGACTGTATGAGGCTTTGTGGGGACATTCAGATACAAACTGTAGCATCCCAGCCCTGGCTCACCAAAGATTCATACACATCCTTAATGTGAAAGACATTTAATCTACCTACAAGAGTTGTCAAAGTCCTAAACAGTTTTGGCATTGCTGAAAAGTCCATGTCCAAAGTCTCCTCTGAGATTTAAAGCAAACTCTTAGCTGCAAGCCCCTGTGCAAATGAAAAGAAAGCTGAACACTTCCAACATTCAATGGCACACGATAAACATATCCACTCCAAAAGTTACAAATGGGAATACAAAGCAGTGCATCCAAAGCAAGTCCAAAACCCAGCATGGCAAATATTAAGTGCTATAGTTCCATGTGGAACATCCAAAGCAATCTGTGGCAAGTTGTGGGCTCCAAAGGGCTTGCATGGCTCCACCTGTACAGCACTGGTTGTAGCTCCCAACAGCTTCTCTCTTGGGCCCACTTTGTTCCCCTCTTTGTAGGTTTTTTCACATGATCCACTTTCCTGGCTTTTCAAATTTCTGGAGTCTCCACTGAACCTCTAGTTTCACTCTCACAGTTTCACACATTGCCCTCTCAAGGGCTCACTGGCCAGCCTCTCAGGTCCGCTTTTGAAATCAAGGTAGAAGCCTTTTAACCTCAGAACTCTTACATGCTGCATGCGCCTAAAACCGGTGCCACACAGAATGACAAGGTCTGCTGCCAGATGGAATAGTAGCCAGGTTTTCTTCTCTCTTGGCTGTAGGGGTCAAGTGCCAGAATCACTGAGTACTCTGAATCCAATTCCAAGGAACAAATTCTCTATGCCACCACCATTCTGGAACCTGGTGCTCTAAGGTTTTCTCCTCAGAGCTGCAAAAGGTAGAGTCCTGGTACTTTCTGTGATGCCCTCAGGCCATCTTTCCTATTCTCTGGTTCCTTATCAGCAGTCAAGATCTCTGCTCTATCTTTGCAGTCCACAACTTGACTGGAACTTCCCTTTTGGCCAAACTCACACTTTAATTCATCCTTCTGGGCTGTTTGCTCTTGATTCTTAACATAAATCTGGCTAAAACCTCCCCACAATAGCCATGCTACCACCTCAACATTCAACTGCCTTGAAATTTCTTCTGCCAGATTAATTAGTCTGCCTCCATTAATCTGGGTCTCAGGCAAGGTCCCTGGACACAGGCAAAATGTAGACTAACTTTTTGCCAAGCATACACTGTCTGGACTTCAGCAGCCAATGCAGTTCTTCTTCCCAACAGAAACCTCTGGAGCCTGGTCTTTACCTGACAGGATTTCTATCAGCCTTCTGGTCTTCTGAGCTCTGATCAGTCTCCCATACAGAACAGCCTAAGGTGTTCCAGCTCTACTCTTGTAGGCAACATCTTTGAACCTTTCCTAACTCTTCTCACAAGCCATTCTCAAAGGTTCTTGAATCACATGGTCAGGTATAGTTAATGATCTCACTTCTCTGGTACCAAATTCTGTGTTGGCTACTTTTCTTTTGTTGATGAGACAAATACCTCATGTCCAAAATTAAAGAAGGAAAGGTTTCTTTAACTTACAGTTTGTGGAGGTTTCAGCCTATAACTTAATGGGTGTAAGACAGGGTACCTCATGGCAGAGGGCAACAGTTCATGGAACCAGAAAACAGCAAAAGCAACAAGAGTAAAAAGCAGGGAGCACTGAGAGAAGAGTCCTTCTGTCCCTTATTTTGTAGGTAGGTCAGCCACTCTAGGTTGGATGTAGCACTCACACCCATAATCTCATGAATCAATTGCAAATTCTAGAGCCTGTTGTCATGACTGTCTGAGGCTTTGTGGGACATCCAGACACAAACCATAACAAGCACTATTTGCAAATTCAGTATTTGGGTGACTTTATAAAACATAACTGAGGCAGGATAAAATAAAAGCTGGGTAGAAGAAAGAAGAAATCTTAACTAAAAATTGTACTTTTGGGCTGGGGATTTAGCTCAGCGGCATAAGCACCTGCCTTGCAAGCAGGCGGTCGTGAGTTCGATCCCCGGTACCGATAAGGAGAAAAAGGAAAAAAAAAATGTACTTTTAAGAATGTACTTTTAAAAAATGTACTTTTAAGAAGACTGCAACTTTTGGGCCTCAGTCAAAGTTCCCCGGGAAGACTTATGTCACCATTCCTTGGGTTAAACTTAAGTTCCTTTCCTACCAGAACCCCATCACTCCCGTAATTTCTCCAGAATACTCAAAGTCCACAAATTGGCTTGAGACACTAAGAAGCAGGAGCCTGATCCTAAGATACAGAAACAGGTTGAGAGATTCCAAAGAATATTTTAATTACTTAAAAATCCGAAAGCAAAAACGAAACCACTCACACCTGTAGAATGATGTAGTACTCTTCTGGGGAATGGCCACCTTTTCCCAAGGTTTCCATTCCTTCAAGAAAGCATAGATATTCCCCGTTTCAGCAAACAATGTGCTTCATTTCTCTAAGCACTGGTACACTTTTTAATGCATCAAAAATTGCTGCCTCATAAACCCTTTCTATGCCTCTTATTAGAATGTCCTGTTATGGATTAAAAACTGGTGGCCAATTTAACACCAGCTGAATTAAATCAGCATGGTGCTGAGTGTAGATGTTTCACCTGAGGAAAGTTGCCAGCATAAATAGAGACTTGGAGAAGATAAGTGAAGCATTGTGGGTTTCTCTAAGTGTTGCTGTTTGAGCTGTTGGTTCTCCTGGAGGAGCTCATCATGACTAGCTTCCCCAGTGTGAGTTTGACCATTATCATCAGAGGAGCTCGGGACCTTGTTGGTGAGAGTGGCTGTGGTTCATTTAGGGGGAGCTCTGGTACTTACATCGAGCTTCACTTCCTGGCTCTCTAGAGGGGAAGACGTGTGCCATTTAATCTCCAGGACAAACCCATCATGCTGGCTTTTTGGCAGGTACTTGACTGTTTTTATGGTTGGAGGACCTGATTCTAATTGTTCTCTGCACAATCCCTGACTACAACATGCCTTGAAAATCTTTTTCCAAGATAGCACTCAGCAAGGCTGCATACTTACTTTATAAAGTGTGTGAAGTTCCTTATTTCAGTTTCAGGAACCTCTTAGACCCAGCCTGGTGACAATAATTAACCATAATGAGAATTGACTGGAATGCCATAAAGAACATCCCTTAATTTGACCCTTGTCCTTAAATCTGACTATCCTCTAGAAGCAAATCCCTAGAAATTAAATTGCTAGGTTGAATATGTAAGAGTATGTTTTGACAGAAATTCTCCTGTTTTTATTATTTATTCAAAACATAAAACTTCAGTGATGTGAGCATGACTTTTCTTAGTTAATAACTAAGACATTCTAGCATTAACATACAAATCTCCAGATTCCCTTCTTAACCCTGGGTCAGAAGAGTGTACACAATGCTGTCAGTGAAGCTACTGTCTCCATGCTAATCCCTATTCTGTACCCAATCATGGGTAAAAATCAAATCCCCAAACTTCCTCTTGTTAATGGTTTCAGACTTTACTTCTGTTTTTACCTGTTATATTTTCCTCTGTATTTTCTTCACTTGATATGCTACAGTCTATTTCTGCAGATTTCAAATATAAAGGGCTCTTGTTTTTCATTAGGACTTCTTCATCACCATTTATTTCCAAATTTAAAGATCCATTTTCACAACTGTTCATCTCCATTTGCCTAAAATGTTTTTTAAAAGAAAAAGTCAGAAAGTCTAGTGATTTGGTTATAGCTTGCTTGGGTAGATGTTATTTAGATGGACAGGGAAAGAGGTCACAATTACCAAATCCTTTTACCACTAAAAACAGAATTGTTAAGCTAAGTCAAACCTCACAGCCTCCCACAGACACCAAGGCAGGCATCTGCCTCAGGTGTGAAGCAGACCTATCTCAAGGCTTTGGGTCAGAAATCAAGAGCTTAATGGTTCTTCCTCTACCCTTAGCTAACTCAGTCTTCCTGCTCCCCATCAGCATCAGGAAATAGATGTTGACAGCTGTTTGACTTCCAATCAGTAATCTTACCTATCAGATTTAACACTTTGACTTTTTTAAACTTCTCTGCAGGAGGCTTTTTCTCAACACCACTAGACATTTCCATGAATTTACTTGGCAGTTAACTGCGTACAAGCCACATGCTACGGTCATCTCCTGTCTCTCAGTAATCTATCTACAAGGAAAACACCCAAGAGGACCACAACACATTCTGAGGGACCTGCCACACTTCAAGGTAATAAAAAAATCTATTTAACATTGAAGTGAAATAGCTAACTCTGTTAATGGGACAATCATAATATCTTAAATATAGGTGATTATACCTTGTCATATTAGAACAAAGGTATTTTCATCTAATAAAAATAAGGGGAAGGGTTCAAGCTACATGGCAAGTCTAGGAAAAGCATTTGCTGTTTTCTAAAAAAAGTTACATTTCAACCTAGGAATTCAAAATGTGAGAATATATAGCAGCAATAACTCAAAAGAAAAAAAATACAAAGATTTCCCTTGTAGGAATATTTAAAAAGGAGAACATTAGAAACAATCAAATTAGGAAGAATCCTTATAATAAGCAAATAACAGAATATCAGCAATTTGAAAGAACAAAATATTAGGACATATAGAAATGCCTATGTAACATAACATATGTAGCCAAGTCAACAATTACTTTTTTTGCGTGTGTGGTGCTGAGGATCAGACCTCGGGTCTCATGGATGCTAGGCAAATGGTCCAGCACTGAGTAACATTAACATTTCTCAGCCCAGCATGTACTATTTTTTTTAAATTGCAAGTATATTTAGAGGAATAGAAATAGTTTATTTTGATATAAAACTATTCTTTCATCCTATGAAGCTATTTGAGATTTTTATTTCTAGACAAAACAGAACAGCACTGCTGCTTTTTCTTGATAAATACACTGAAGTTAATACTCAGCTCCTACATAAGAAATTCTAAATCTTCATTAACTCTAGAGATGGAAGGTACTAGATGTTATCGGTGAGAGCTACATCCTAAGGCAAATGCCAAAGTTTTCCTATTAGTATTGAATCAAGGTCTGTATTATTTTAGACTTACCTGAAACAGGAAAGTCAGATACTGTTTCTTTCTAGTACCACCTCAAATCATGAGAAAAACCACCTTACGATCAAAATTTCAGCCCCTCATCATTAAACAAGGAATAAGTATATGCATATTTTTTTTTTGAAAAAAGAAAACCAAAAAAATTTACCATACCTTTCTAGTGAATTGTGTATTGGTACAACAGGATGTTTCATCTTTAAAAGAAGCAAGGAAATGAAAGTTAAACATCCAGAAAAAAAGCATTACTCTGAATTTTATCTATATATGAGAGAGGTAAATGTTCCTGTAATATATACTATTTCACTCAATAAACAATTTTATTCATTTATTTATTTACTTGTGTATCAGGGATTGAACTCATGACCTTGAATTTGCCAAGCAGGCACTTATGCCATCGAGCTAAACCCCCAGCCCCAATAAACAATTTTAAGTCATCCCAAAGTAGAGTCATTGGTCCCAATTTCCCTTTCTCATTAAATCAAATAAAGGTACCCAAATTTCCTTTTTTTTTTTTTTGTCTTTTTCCTTTTTATCGGTACCAGGGATCGAACTCATGACTGCCTGCTTGCCAGGCAGGCGCTTAGGCCACTGAGCTAAACCCCCAGCCCCAAAGGTACCCAAATTTCTAAGGGGGAGGAAGATGACCTTTGAAGGATCTAATTACCATAGCCAAACTCTTGATGATAGCTTTCTTTGTAATTTAGTTATGCTTATTAAAGATTAATAGATAGGAAACCAAGATCCAGGTATTATACAGACATGAGAGAGGTATGGTAAACACTACAGTGTTCCTGCCTTTAAACTAATTTCAATAAAGAATAGGGCTAAAACAGAACAATGTATATGAGGAAGCTCCTAGTTCAATCTAAAGATGTAGAGAAAATATGAACAGAGGATGAATAGCAGATAACCTAGGAAAGAGCTCAGATGGGCATTCTTGGCACTGGGTTATACTATAACAAAGAGGGTATGTGTGGGAGGAGAATGACACATTAATATATTCAAGTCAAGTAATATTAGAGAAAGAAGCCGGTGATAAGAGGAGCTAAAATGTCTTAAAGTATATGCAATGAGAGGACCACTTTACAGTTAAAAGTGATCCAATTTATATTACAGTAACATAAATATTGTTTGCTGCCAGCTTAAAGATAACTAGTTAGAAGGCCACCACAACTGTAGGCTAAATTTCTTGAACAAGGAAGTTAGAAAGAAAAGGCTATATTAGAGATATAGGTAGATAGTCAAACTGCCAAAATAGTTCACTAGATATAGAAGATTGAAATCTGATATAAAAATGGACATAAAGTGAAGTCCATTAAAAAATGTCTTCATCAATCATCAACACTATATCTTTAGACTTTTCAGCTTTTCATTGTACCTTTGTTATGGTTACATCTAAAATGTTCGCCCAAAGTAAGAGGGGTTCAGAAGGTAACTGAATCATGGGAGTGTTATACTACTCTTGGATTAATACACTGGTGAGTTCCTAGTTGAGTGTGCTATTAGGTGGTGGGACCCAGTTGAAAGAAGTAGGCTATTGGAGGCATGCCTTTTAAGTATATGTTTTTTTTGCTTCCCTTTTTTCTCTATTTCCTGGCAGCCATGGAGTGAGCAGCTTTATTCTGGCAATCTCTTCTGCGTTGCCATTTCTTCTGCGTTGCCATGAATGAAACCATCTGGAACTATAAGCCAAATACACCTCGCCTCTGTTAAGTCACAAGTGTTAGATATTTGTCTCAGCAACAGAAAAACTAACTAAATTAACCCTGTTGCAGACAAACTGGGCTGCTCTTCTTACTTTGCTTGACTTGACCATAGCCAGCTGTGGTGATCCTGGGGGAGTGCGATAAAGCAGGTCAGAGGTGAAGGCTGCATTGGCAATCTGCATGCACTCTTCCAAAGTCTTTAGAAAAGTATTACAAGTTGATTTCAGCAGAGTACCCACATCGATTCCCTCCTACAAAAAACAGACAACAACAAAACAGAATGGAAGACATTTCTTTCATTGTTAGTCTTTTAAGGCTTTTTATCCACAAATTACTAACAATATCCTGTATTCAACTGTATTGCTGGACAAATAGGAAAAAAAAAATAGAATTAGACCTATTTACCACTTACCATGCACAATGCTCGTCTCAATCTGACCCTTTACATTTTCCAATTTAAATTCACTGCGGCTAAAGGGAACAACACTGTGAGACCATTGTGCCAGGTTCTGGGCACTAAATTCATGTGAAGCTACAGAAACTGCACAACATTTGCTTTCAGTATGGAATACTAAGGGGTAGAACAGCTGGAATTCCTTTGAACAATGAATTGATTTTTTTTCCTGTTACTAATAGTTTATTTGTTTATATTCTGACTAGAGAGTGAAAAACACACTAGTGGTCTCTTACATTTTTTTCATTTCATATTTCTAACACCCCCAGGTGACAGACTACACTTTTCATTAATAAGTTTCCACAGCTCTTGCTACATGCACTTTCCTTCCTGAATTAAAGATTGCTGCGGTCACATCTTCTCTTTTTCTACTCAGCACCACAGATATTCTAGCCTGGGTAATGTGCAGAGCCAGGGTGCAGCTCGCCTGTTCACTGCAAGATGTTAAGCAGCATCTTGTGGCTTCTACCCACTAGATGTCAACAGCATTCCCTCAATTACGACAACCAAAAATGTTTCCAGACACTACCAAATGTCTTTTGGGGGTACAGGTGCTCTAAGTGGGCAATAACTGCTCTAGACTTTGCAAGAATAGAGCTGATGCTTTAGTTCTTACCTGCCCCAACCCATAAGCAGTGATTACACACAACACGAACAAATGAGTAAGAGAGTCCAAAAGGAAGTACATAAATGAAAGTCAGTTAAATCACCTTCATAAGACCTCTAACCATATAAACTACTAGTAGCATGGTATTCTATTACCTAAAAAAAAAAAAAGAATTAAAACATTAAGTATAATTGGCGCATTCTTCATATTGTAGATATTCATCAGGTTATAACTTCTTTGAAAGCACAGCATAGACAGGTTTTTTTTTTGTACTCGGGATTGAACGACATTCTCTGCTTAATGTAAACCAGTCAATACACAGCTTAATACCATAGAGATCCTTAAATGTGTTTTAGGGTGAGTGAATAACAATTTTATCAATAAATGTTAAAAATCACAATTCTTGTTGATTAAGAATAAAGCTATGTCTCCATCTCTGAAAACACATATCTACTCCAAAAGCACAACAATTACTACGGTCAAATAAAACACAGTCAATCTCACCAAAGGTAACAGATAAATACTATTGGCAGACACACCATTAACACTTTATAATCACACCTAGGAAACAGTTTTGTAAAACAAGTAAGACTGTATTTTTAAAAAGTGGTACAAACAGCCAAGTGAGGTAGTGTATGCCTATAATCCTAGTTACTTGGCAGACAGAGGCAGGAGGATGACAAGCTTAAAAAATAAAAAGGGAAGGGCCCAGGATTTAGCTCTGTGGCATAAGCACCTGCCTGGCAAGCATGAGGTCGTGAATTCAATCCCTGGTACAAGAAAAAAAAGAAAAGAAAAGAAAAGAAATTTATTATAAAAAATAAAAAGGGGGAGGTATAACTTAGTGCAAAGGCCTGGATTCAATTCCCTATATTGACCACTCCCCACAAAAAAGTGATGTAAACAGGGAGAAATGTAATTTAGTATGTTAGTACTAAGTTCCAAATGTTATCAATTAATCCTGAATTCACTTCAGGAAGGAAAATGTATGCTTCCACATGCTGCAATGCACACATTTCTTTTCTTTGTAAAGTTTTGTTTACTTTTTCTTCTAAAAATATAGCAAATTCTATTATAGTCAGGATTTCTGTAAGAATAATAGTACCTATAAACAATCCAGTGTTACTTTTTGAGGTACAATGTCAATACTATTACTAAAGTATTTTACCTCAGAATTAGAGACACCAGTTGTGGTCACTTCTTTTGTTTTATCTACTTGCTGAACAAGGAGGTCACAGTAGAGTCTTAATTCTGACATTTTGGTTTTCAAGTTTTCGGTGTTTTCAGCAAATTCTGAATAACAAAATTATAGTAATGCTGTTAGCAGGAGAAATAATCAATCTTCTTATAATGCACAGAAGTGGAATATATGACATAGGTTTATAGTATGTGTTAAAGATTTGATAAAGATGAGGGGGAAGAAGGGCAGGAAAAGGGTATTTCCAGTCTCTTGAAGTAAAACACACTGCTTCTCAAGATAACATACTGAATAATCACCAGTTCAGGAAGAGGTAAGAACATTTCATCTGGATCTCCTATCAAAACTGGCAGCACACAGGATTCAGCGATCTGGTCTCAATTCGGCTACACTGAATTTTAAGATGAGATCAGATTGATCTATCTCCTAGTGCATGGCTCACACCTGGGAAACAGTGTTCTGTCATATCTAATCACCATCAAGAACACAGCTTCTTATTTTGGCTGAGGACTGGTTTAGCATACTGCCTGTCAAGGCTAATGGCCCCTAGCCACTAACAGGAAGGTGCTCCAGTCCCCCTGGTGCTGCAGGCTCAAATACAATTACTATCACTCCTGCTTCTTCTCCATGAAAATACTGTACTAACATACTGTATTAACATCTGCTCAGAGTCAAAGCTGATGGCTTCTATGATTTTTCCCGCTTAAAAACAACCAATGAAGATGTCATTTTACTGAGTCCACCTGAAGAGACAAAAATCTACCACAACGGCCATGAGAAATGTTCCCAGGAACAGTCTCCTTCCATCTCACCCTTTCCTTTGCCCACACATTCTCTTCAGTTGCACATATAGAACTGTGGTGTTGGCAACGCAACAGGTAGGGCCCATACAGTAAGCCCTGGCATTTTTGCCCCAATCCAATGAGAAAATTGTGCCATGGTTGTCAGAAGACCTAATGATATCAAGTTAATACTTGCAGTAGCAACCTGACATGAAGTATTCATCCCACCTAAGAGAAAGGAAAGGGAAAACAAGGTAGTACTACCAAAAATACACTGGCCCAAGGTTTCTCTGGCTTAGCTACTCTTTGCCAAAGTCTGTGCCTAACTGGGTACCAGTATTAGGTGTCTGACTAGACACTATACCCTTCCTCCCATGTTTTCACTATTCCTCACAGTTATCCCTCCAAAGTAAGCATTACCACCTCTTTTTCAAAGGTGAGGTAACTACAGCTCAGAAAATTTAAGTGACCTCTGCCAAAGTCACAGAGTCAATAAACTACAAAGCCATTATGTGGACCCACTTGTGTCTGGCTGTACTATGCTATGCTAAGAAGGTAGAATTACTATGGACCCTACTATAAGCTCTACACAGCATGCAAATGATACAAAAAGCATGGTAGGTGTCAGAGACAACATAAGGCAAAACAAACAAACAAACAAAAAAGGGAACGTAGATATGTCAATGGGTGATTCCCAAGGCTCCCAGAGGAGAAGACAATCAATACTTACCTTTCTCCTTCTGAGTCCTACTGTCTGTCAGGCAAGCCTTGGCTGACCCCAGAGCTACCAGCCACCGCTGTCTCTCAGCCACACTTCTGGCCTTTAGGTAGAAATACTGTTCCCCAGGGATTATGAGGTCCATGCGGGTATTATCTACAGAATGAACTGGGCAAGGCAGAGTGAGGTCAGAGACCTAGAAGCACTCTGAACAGCCTTCACCCCATTCAACTTCTTGACCTTAACTAGTGCCAGTTTCTGAAAGCTTCTTCTCAGACAGGAAAGGTCAGCCCTTATGACTTCTAGTTCACAAAAAGTTCTGTTTACTTATCTTTTCCTGCACAGTTCTGTTGATCAAAAAAGGAAACCCTTTTAACTGACTCCAAGACATTACCAGTCTTTAACCCAAAACACAATCACTCAATTTAATCATCTGTCAGAATAGAGAAGGAACCTCTTTTTGGCTGTGTGTGTATAAAATATGTTATTCTGATGTCAAATAGGCTTGCATGTTCTGATGGTTTGGATTTGCCCCAGTCCAAAGAAAAAGCTGAAACCTTCTAAGGTGTTATTACTCCCTAATACAGCGATGTTAAGTGGTGGTAGTATGTTTATGAGGGAGAACAGTGTGGGAGTCACTGGCAGCACTGTCTTCAGGGAATTAGTGTAGTTCTTTACCATAGAAGAACAAGAACCACCTTTTTTGTACTCTCTGGCTTCTAGTTTTATCATGTAATTTCTCTCTCACACACAAGCTTCCACTGTGATGCCATTTTCCTTGATATGACATACCCAATGGACCTTCACTGGAGCTAGCACCATGCTACTTAGAATTTGAACCTCCAAAACCGTTAGCTACAGAAAGCTCTTTTCTTTATATTTTATCTAGCTTCAAGTATTTGACAGTAGCAATGGAAAGTGGCCTAATATGCATGCCAATAAACAAGAATACATTCTTCATCTTTTGGGGAGTTATTGGGAAGCAATCAAGGATGCACTATTTTTCTTCTCTTAGTTCCCCTGACAAGTCAGACCAAAGTACAAAAATTTCCTAAAAACTCTTTAGGAGAAGAAATAAGCAAACTACATTCTCCTTCATTCATATACTCATTTCATCTGTTTTTTCTGGGTTATACCTCTGAATGTCTCAAGATTCTAAAACCAAGAAGACTATTTTAAGTCTGTCAGAATTCTGCTTATTTTGTTTTGAGTGTGTGAATATGTCTGACCTGATTTAAACCACGAACATTTGGTGCTGCAGTAATGCTTAAAACTTTGTCCATAGCTACTGGGTCCAGGTGCGTAGGTAACTAAAGAATGAGTACTATGAGTAGGGAAGCACACTGTTCTTGTTCATCTGGACCACTTCTTAAACCATCTCCTTATGAAAGCTGGTTCCAGTAGTATGTTGTATTTGCAAGGCTTTCTGGTGAGCCTTGTATGACACTGTGTAATTTAACCTATACTGTAGGAACAGCAGAGAAAGGCACAGAGAGGCTAGTGCCTTTTTATTTTTTTCAGAGAAAAAGAAAAATAAAACCTGCAAGTTGTTTGGTTTCTTACCTTGAATTTCACAGACTGCCATTTGGATGCTCCCTTTGCAACCTTTCCAGGCATCTTCAGGAGAATCATAATAGGATAATATTCCTCCACACAGAAGGAACCATCGAGGCTGCCACCCTGAAGACAGAAGCGAGAGCATCATTGCAATTATTACCAGCATGTGAGATGCCTGCCAGGACACAGAAACTAGGCCCAAATAAGAGGTGATACCAAGTCTCAGTTGCAAGGAGCTTTTTATTGCAAGGGAAATTCTAGAGAAGGAGACAGGTTAGGAAACAACTTATTTGTTTGATCCTATTTTTATAAAATTAAATACTAGAGGCATAGAACATGAAGTACAGTACTCTGGAAGGATCAAGAACAAGCATGGATAATGATTCTAAAAAGTAATAGAATGTATAGATAATTTTATTCTCTTTTCCTAATATAGTAATAGTAATCTGTGATTTTTAATTTTTCTAAAACAAATGGTTATTTGTATCATAAACACTGTTTTATACATATACCCTCCTCTCTGGATTAAGAAAAAAAATCTCAGAAATTTAGAAATAGACAACAAACATTACAATGCCCTTTCAACAAAAGTTATACAACTAGTGTCACAGGACTTTTAGGAAAAGGTAACTTTGTTTCACTTACTATTTAGTATTGATTCATCAAAAGAGTGATTTTAAAACATTCAAAGTTTAATTCCATTCATTCAATATTGGAGAGTTCAGGAGACAAACCATATACAGTAGACATACATTTTATCCAGTCTCCTATGATAACCTATATTCCAGTCAAATCAACCTTATTTTCTGGATTTCAAGCTAGATTTTCATAAAATGTCATCCCTGACTATCTTTGAACAAGTTTCTTCCATCAGGCACAGTTTGTTTTTCCTTTCTCTGAAGTGCTATAGTCATTTGGGGATTCATTTCTCTCATGAGATTCTGCTGTCGTTAAAGCAGCCAGAGAAAAAGACACTGGGGGAGGCGGGCCCCAGATTGTGCTGGTATACTCATTTGATGGGCTGCTGAGGAAAGCTTCACACGATCTAATTGATACCGACATGGAATCAATTTACTATGTTCTCTGGGGAGATTACTGTACTTCTCGGGGCACCTCTGGAATAAGATTATGCTAGAGAAACTATGCTTGTAATTAGAAAGCCGAACTGTCAGCACTAAATTTGAGCAAGGGAGTTAGGCGGGAAGGCAATATGTTGCTTCCATCACTTTATCAGAGTCTATTTTTCTAGAAACCAGATTACTTAGGACTGCCAGGTATAATGTCTCTCACTTCCTTAAAACTAAATTACTGAGAACATCCCAGTATCAACTCTCCAATAATACCTAAACTGAAACATCCTGCTTGCTATACAATCCTCTCATCAAAGATAAATCTTTCCACAAACTATGTATTTATGATTCTCCAGTTACACTTTATATTGAATACTTCTTTCCCAGGGACTCAGATTCTTTGCAAAATGTCAGGATATGTATGGTTATAATCTCTACATCCACCCAAGTCAATTTTTAGCAGACAGATCTCTTCAAATGAATGTATACATTTTTATTTCAGAAGGCAATGTTTACTGATCTTGGTTTCAAATTCTACAGAAGGCCACCCTTTATGCAGCAAAATATTGCAACCTGGGAAACCCAATCGATCATCAGGCTATGTTCTTTATCGAACATAGTCTCTTAGAATCAGACACTACGGATTAGGTTTAAGCCCTTTGCTTGCGAATCTGATTATTTGTACTCAGGCCAACATCTCTTACTGCAACAAAAGATTCAATATTTTAGAATAGGAAATGGAAGAAGTCATTGAAATCACCTACTCAGATCAATCCATTTTACAGACAAAGAAATCTATCCTAGGGTACACAGGCTGCATATAGTGGAGCTAGGAAGAAAGTTATGTCTTTCTACACTGTTCCATTTTGGCACCAAAATGCCGATCTCTGCCCCTCTGAAACAGCTATCTTGGTATTAGAATAGTAACATCTTTTGAGGTAGAGCTTATTCCCTACCCTTACTGGTATGAACACTCCCAAACCTATCTTTGTGTAGGCATCCTCAATTACTACAGTTGATCAAATTTAGGATCCAATTGTATTAGCATTCTTCTGAGAATCAACAGGATATATGTATACACACATACAGAAATGTACTATAAAAAACTACTTCAGATGATTCTATGTAGGTTAAGTCCCAAGATCTACAATTAGCAAACTAAAGACCCAGAAAAGCATACGTTACAAGTTTCAGTGAAGGTCAATGTCCCAGTTCAAGGCAGCTGGGCAAGAGGAACTAGTTTGTTCTTTGCCTTGTTAGATTCTAGTCCTCAACTGAAGGACAAGACCCATGAACATTAGAACTATCTACTCTGTCTTCTGATTCAAATGTTAATCTCATCCAGAATAATGTTTGGTCAAATGTCTGGGTGCTTGTACTTGTATTTGTCAGGTTTCCACTTCTGTACAATACTTGAAATAAATCAAAAAGGTTTAATTTAGCTTATTGTTTCAGAGGTTTCTGTCCAAGGTCACTTGATCCCACTGCCTTTGGACCTTTCGTGAGGCAGCAAATCACACTGCAGAACTTGAGATGGAACATGTTCACTTCATGGTAGCTGGGAAGCAGGAAACATGGAGAAACCAGCATTCTGGTATTTCCTGCATGGGCACCTCCCCAAATGACCTAAATTCAGCCTACCAGGCCTCCTTTATTAAAGGTTCCATCATCATCCAGACTATAGCAGCATCCTGTGACACATATTTATGATCATATCATCAATTGTAAGACATAACCATTATTTTCTGTAATACAATGTTATAGTTTAAATATGAATTACTCATGTATGGAGGACATAATCCTTAACATGGCAGTATTCAGAGGTGAGGTCTGGGAATAATGACTGATGAGTTCAGAGCTGAATGGGATAGTCAAAGGCTGATCTAGTAGGAGAAAGTAAATCATGGAGTCGGGATAGAGGGGTGCCTTTAAAGAGTGTATTTGGTCCCTGGCTCTTTCCTCTCTGGTTCTTCCCCTGCTCTCTGCTTCTGGCTGTCATGAATGAGCACCTGTCCTTTTCCAAGCCGCTTCACCATGATGTTTCTGCCTTGGAGTCAGCTGCGCATGAAACTATGAGCCAAAATAATCCTCTGAAATGAGTTATAACAGGTTCTGTATTTACCGAGAAGTTTTAATTACACCGAGAAGTTTAGTATTTATTATTTTATTCTATAACTTGGAACAACAGAAACAATGACCAAGAAAAGTCTTTTAAGCATAAACTTTCTCAAGTTGCAAAAGGTACATTAAGAGATCACAGAAGTTTCATTTTCATTAGATGAAAATGTAGATGAAAAGTTCAGGTTAGTAGTGAGGCACACTGATCTGTAATTTTCAGTACTGAGAAAATGGGGTATAGTAGGAGAAAAGAGGCATGGATGATAAAAAGGACATTATTTCCTCTTTTAAAAGAATCCGTAGTTACTTGGAAATGATGAGAATACTCAAGGAAACAAAAGGACAGATGAAAACTGTGGGTCTGTAATGCCATTGCTTCCTTACAGTGCCACAGATTAATCTTCCTGTGCAACCCTCACCTTCTCTTTTTGCTATCACTTCCAAGAAATGGAATGTGGTGTTAGCCAAACTCCCTGCTTGAAGAATTAGACAAGAAACTTATTGAGCAGAAAGAATTTTTTTAGTTTGTATCAGTTACTGCTTCTAGAAGTGGCACATAAAAAGAGAAGAAAATATGTGTAAATGGCAATTCATAGTCTTGGATTATTTCAGTATGTATTTGACATTTACTTTTGGCAATTCAGCAAACATCCTGTACATTTTCATTACTGAAAACCTCCTTCTCACACTTCATCCACGTAATCTGGATAGGCTAATCAGCTCCAAGCAGGCATGTGATTCAGGCCCACATGGAGCTGCATATAACCTGTCCTTAAAAACAGTTGCAAAATGGGCAAGTGGCCCAAGCAGAGATAATTCAAGGATTTTGCTAGAACTAGGAAAAAGAGAACTGGAGAACTTTTTCTTTCTTTCTTTTTTTGTCTTAAAGATGCCTGGCAATAGGTCCTAGGAGCCATTTCACCATCACATGACACTTAAACATAATTTTCACATAAATGGAAAAGGGAACTGGAAAATTTGAAGGACAAAGAAAGAAAAGGTCAAATCTGGACCACAAGATTTGAACTGTTTAATCAGGATGTGTCACAACTGAACATAAGACACTCAACGGACTTTTCAGTTAAATGAACTAATAAACCCTCCATTTAATTCAAGCCTGTCTGCACTGTTCTTCCCCCCAACAAGAGTTCTTAATTATCATGTGATCATCTCTAAACGCATAAAAAGTAATTGACAAAATCTAACACTTGGTCATCATAAAAACAAATAACAGAAAGGAACTACCACAGTCTTACTAAGGCATGTAAAAAATCTCCACAACTAACATATATAATGGTAAAAGACAGGATGCTTTTCTCCAAAGATCAAGAAGACAAGAATGTTTGCTGTCAGCACTTCTAAACGTTACACTGGAGCCAGGTATGCTGGTGAATGCCTGTACTTCCAGCACTTCCAGCAATTAGGAGGATGAGGTGACATGATTGCCACAAGTTTGAGACCAACCCAGGCTGGCTACACAGTGAGTTTAATGCCAATCTGAATTATATACCAAGACTCCATCTCAAAAACAACAAACAAAAACGCCATTACAGTATACTGGAGGTGGTAGCCAGGGCAAGAAAATGAAAAGGCATCCAGACTAAAAAGGCAGATATAAATCTAGTTCTATTCGCATATAAATTATACAACAAAATCTTTAGAATAAAATATAAACGTAAGTTGCATTCCAGTACAGTTACAACAAACAACCTAAAATACTTTATGAAAATAAATCTAGTAGCAACACTAAAAGAATAAACTACTTAGAAGAAAATTAATGAAAGTTGATTTCATATATTTTGAAAGTAAAAATACATAAAAAGATATGAAGATCATTATTCCAAAATTGTTGCCAGCTTTTCTCACATAGTGTAAGTGCTTTTCTACACATAATCAACAAATAACTATTTGCAAAATGCACTTTAAAAAAAAAAC